TAGCACATATCTGATTTAGGAATTTAGTTTCCTAAACTAGTATGACTTGAGCTTACTTCCAACGACTTTGATTCTGTTGGAAGTATAAAAATAAAAAAAACTAGTGACTAATATTTATTCCTAGGAGGATGTTTAATTTCATTGGCATCAAACAAATCAACCATAGTTATTTGTCAATAATTGAAGTTACGTGTACTAGATTATGTTTCTCATAAGTATTATGAGTCAAATCATATCTCAAGGATTATGAGAATAACTCAAAAAACATTTCCATTATATGTGATAACATGAGTGCCAAAAATTTAGTAAAAATTTAGCAAATATTTGACATCATTCTACTTTACTTTTTACCAATAGAGATGGTACAACTTAAATACTATTTCCAATAAAATAAATTTCAATTGGCCTCTCTTCATTATATCTTTGAGTATAGATAGATTCATGACTCTCTAAAGAGAAATTACAAAATGCATTAAGGAAGAGGTATGGAAAATAAAAGAAAATTGAAATTATTTTGTGATAAAAAGTCAGTCCAAAATCCATTGAAATTATTGCATACTTATGACTATTTTTTGGATCAGAACCATGAAATGACTCATGATTCAAATTAGTAATGGCCTACCAAATTATTTTCGAAACATACAAGTCAAGTTAAGCTAGAAAATTTAATGTGAAATTATTTATGTTCAGAAATCAGTCCAAAATTTGTTGAAACTTTTAGTTATTTATGGTTTTTTTCAAGATTAAAAGTATTGAGATGAATGATGATTTAGGTTTGTGAATGAAAAATGAATCAGTTATGAATTTCATGATCTATGATAAACTATTGAGACCAGAAAATTAGAAAAACAGAGTGATGGGAAGGAATACAGAAATAAGAAAATCAAACATAAATTTGGAAGCAATTTGGGGCACACCTCTGAAATATTCTTGGGCACTGATTTATTAATGATTATTGAAATTATGAGTCTTGATAGAAGAACAGAAAATTGACAAGTGACATAATTATGTTCAAAATATTGATTTAGAAATTCTAACGACTCCCACTTCTTATGTGCATAGAAATCATGAAACCAAATGTCCATTATATTCATACATGACTGGTCAATGACTGTCCATTCTTATATCCTCTGGATGTGTTATGATTATAAGACAAAGAACTTAGAAAATCAGAGAAATCGAGTGAATGTTAAAAAGATGTAAATGATAGTGAGAATTAAAACTTAGAAAAGCTTACTTAAAATTCCTTGCCAACAATGATTGATAAATGCAATGGATCAATGTAGTATAGAATACAAAGACAGATCTTTAATTCAAAATTCAATTACATTCAGAATATGAATTTTTCGATTGACTTGATCTACATTTCAGTTTAATTGATCCAATCTTAAAGCCATATTGATAGGGGGAGTAATCTTAAATTAGGTTCATTAAATCTTGGCCCTTGATCACTTATCTATGTGTGAAACCTGATTCTAATTGCCAACACTCTGATTTTTTTCGATCCTTAAAAGTAAAATTGAACAATAGAGTCTATGACCCATAGATAGTCTTCTAACTATAAATATGACTAAGTCCTTGAAAATCTTAACTGGTATTTTCTTCTACAAGTCAAGTCATATCCTAAAGTCGCCATCTCAAGATATATTTCTAAAAATTTCAAAACATAGCTCTATTTTTGACAAAAATCTTAATGTGCTCATGTTCTATTGTACTATGAGTTACATGATTTCATCTTGAATTAAATCTCTGATCTATAAAAAAATATTTTTTTAAAAATCATGAGCAGCACATAAATTTCAAATCATTCTCATGGTCATTCACACAAAAATTAAAATAGTTTATTTTCATTTTTAGACCAAATTGTCAAAACTATGCATGAACACAACCAGTTATAATTCTAACAAAGAAAATCATTCTGATGGAAATCGTATGAAAGAAAATTTGGTGATTCTTTCACATGAATGTTATGACCTTATTGAGAGCAATGCTATTTTTGACTTCCAATTGATGTCATAGATTGTACACAACTTCATGACATATTATTTCTGAATTGACATTTAAAGCAAATGAATCAATCCATAAACTTGTTCACTTCTTACTCTGGAAATTTATGTGACTCTCTATCATTACAACTCAATGTTGAATTTATTCTGCATTAACAACAGAATATCTTTGCATTCATGAAGGAATCTCATGACAACCTATGTCTCAAATGCTCATCATTCATTTAAAAAAAATACTTAATCAAACATTGTTAAAATAATAGCTGAAGTCAATATAAATTATAAAGGATGAAATGAACTACAGTCATGAATGAAACATACTTGACATAGATATACAAACTTGTTTAACCATTGCTGACCAAGTTATAGATTATCATTTTATCAAGGTCAAATAGTAAATTTAGTTACTTTTATTTATCTCATAATGAAAGAATACATCTTAAACTTCGAGCATTATATTTATTAAACTATGAAAAAATATTTGATCCCCACTAACGTGTATTTCAAACCCAAAGAATTGACATTGATCAAGCATAATTATCATGTTAACTGAAATACTCTTTAAAAAAAATGGGGTGAAAAAGTGCAAGTCTTACAACATAGAAATTATAGAATTAAGGAGGGAGCATTCAAAAGTTATTGTGATAAAAAAGGGAGTATAGAGAAAGGGTGAACAGTAAGAGAAGGTGAGAAAAACAAGTACAACATAAGAACTCATATACTCTTAGATGAATGATGTTTAAATTCAATATCTTGTTCAAATTTTAGATGTCTTAAATATGTCAATTAAATTTCAAATGCTAAAAATGCATCATTGGCATATATCAAATCATAAAAAAACATATTCTTATGAATGTAATGATCACCATATTCAATAATTCAAAATGTAGAAAGTGTCATCTTCAAGACTTGTATGCATAGCTCTTCCATTGCCAAAAAGAGGGAGATTGTTGGAGCACCAAATGAATGATAGTTTGATGATGACAATATTCATAAGATTAATTAAAAGATCAAATTATATCTAGTCTAGAATATACCCAACATGAAGATAATATTAAAGTATTCATATATTATTTAATATAATATTATTGAATATTCATATGATAATTCATGGAACATACTTCTAATAAGTAATATTGAACTTATATATTTGATTGATTTCACCATATAAAATTACCATACTACATATTATTATGAAAAGTGACAATATTTATATAATATGACATAGTTAGAAAGTAATAATAAGCACATTAGAATTAACAAGATAACAAGAAGTAAAATATGGGTATAAAATCTTAATTAGTCTATTTTGCACTCATGACATTAGCTCATTACTTTAAGTGGTTTTGATATCGATTCAATCAATTGAATTCACAGACTTACTTATTTCAATCTGATTTTTAAATATTAAATATTATACTTTATAAAATTATTTTAAGTATCATCAATCACTAAAATCATGATTATAACTACTAAGATCATGATTTAAGATGTTAAATTAATGATCTTATTTTATTTGAGGTGATTCAAGTAAAATTTGATTGTAAACTCAAGATCTTATCAAGATATAGATTGTTGTTTTATTTTAATGATGTTGGATCTTTACTAGTCTTTGATTTGTGCCGGTATAATTCAGATATTAATAATGTGCTTTAAAATAATTGCATATTGATTTCTTTTAAGGATATAAAAACTTATAAAGAACATATCATATTTATTTTCCATCCATTTAAATTTCTATTCATTTTTAGAAATATTACTGTTGGCCGGTTGAATATGAGACCCGGTATATGTACATACCAGGTCACTTAATGTTAATGGGCTAACAGACCACCATTAGCCCATTAACATTAAGTAACTGCCTGCGTTTAGGCTTTCTATTTTTAGTCTAAGGGTTGACCCAGCTCGAGTTGTATAAATAAAAGGAAAACCCCTATGATTGAAAAGAGATTTAGTTACCTTTCTTTTGTAAATTTTGTTTTCTATTGTCTCCATGTCGGTGTCTCGCCTAGGGCTTTGAGCATTGAGAGCAGATCCAGGTCAAAGAATTACGATTGTGAGATAATAGAAAATATGATAAGACTTTGAATCAGATTTTTCTATACATGCAATAACTTTCTAATGACTAATCAGAGCTGAACATCTATCTTTAACCCCTTTACAACCTCAAGAGTTTAATTTAGTTTTTATATAGAAAAATTTGAGAAAAATCGTGAGATATTTACTAGTTGATTAAATTGCATTAAGTCACCATGTTGAAGAACATTACTTAAGAATTCAGTGACCAATCTCAATTAGTTTAAAGAGAAATGTCTTCCATCTTCAGAAAGTATCCTTACAAGAAGAAGACAGCAAATATCATAGCCTAATCATCATCCTATTCACCAACATTTTAGACACACTCTAAGTCAATATCATCTTTTAGAAATCATCTCAAGATGATATCTTTATTATTTATTGTAAGATAATAGTGATATCAAGTACTTATTTATCACAAGTGAAAGTTGTCCCTATTAACACTAGTGTGGTTTGCTAGAGCCGTGAATCGAGAAGAAAATTTCAGAGTGAAATTTCATGGGAACTAAGCCTTATAATGAGTGGTGTGGTGTGGCATCCTAAAGTCAGGAATCTAGGAAGAAGATTATGGTTAAATCTTAAGAGAGTTAAACCCATTAATCAGTGATTGTGGTTGGACAATCACAATTAGTATAACCTAAGAACAATTATGTTCTTAGAGAGTGGATATAGTTAGTTGGTTGAGTCACTATAAAAACATAATGTATTATAAATAAACTAATAAATCCACTAATAAATCATCTTAAAAGAAGAGTGAAACTCTGAGAGACATTATATAAGAACAAAATAAGAAAAGAGTAGATTAATTCAACCCCTCATTCTTGACCTTAGTATTAGCCAAAATCCAACATTCGTCACATTATTCAAATTTAAACTAAAAAAATGACAACAAAATTGGTATTCATTTGCTTCATCATCTTAGTTTGGTCTAGTGAAGAAGGCATTGATAGTTGGCATAATCTCTGGAGTCTTTGTTCGTAGGAACTTTCGAAGGCTATGCTCCTTGTATCTCTCCCCCTCTGTGAAGTTCTCAAGGATTCCTGCTGCTCTATTTTGCTTCGTAACCCTGCAAGATTTCATTATCTAATTTTTAACTCTCATGGTTTTTACTATTTTTGACAAGAAAATGAAAAACAAATTAATAGTTAACCATTCACTTAATAACATGGGTCTTGTGCATATAGAAAAAGTCACATATGGTTTCCAAGCCATGCTTGTGAATATTCCAAAGTTCTTTTTTAATACAAATTTTCATGGAAAACGAAAAAAACAACTTAATAGGGTTGAGAAATAGGGTAGGTCTACAGGAAAGCCAACCCTAAGTAACGAATAGAGTTAACACTTTTCTGTGGTCAAATTAACAAGAAATTTTAGTTTAATGGATATATAGGAGTCAACCCTAGAAATCATATTAGGCCTCAAGAAAATCCTAACAAAATAGGATGAGGTGGATTCTCATGAAGTTGTTGCCCACTAAAACATTCAATGCACAGAAATTAAAATAAAAAACAAATTAGATGATTGATAAAAGTCGTTCTTATTTTTATAGAGTAAAAGTGTTAATTTCTTATTTGAAAAAAGGACCAGATCGTCAATGGTTGTCGAAGAACGTCTCCGTTTGCAAAATGTCAACGGTCGTTTAGTGTTAAAATACGATAGTTTAAAGAAAATGATAAAATAAGACGTTACCTGACTTCTGGGTTGCCTGTGATGTTCCTCGCCAGCGAAAAGGCGCAGATCCCGACGGCCGCTCCGACGGTCACGAACAGCGGGTAGACCTGCAAGATCGCATCCGAGCCCTCAGATCACTTTATCTTCCGACAAAATCTTGAGAGAGAGAGAGAGAAAGAGTCTTGAGCAGTTCTCTTCTGAAACGAGAAGAATCGAGAAGCGTGGAAACTGCGTGTAAGGAGGAGACGATTCTCTCTGCTGAAGGAGTATCAACAAAGGCCGAACACAGAGAGGAAGAGAGAGGGATAGAGAGAAAGAAAGAGATAGAGGGTCTTCATCTTCTGCAAAAATATTCATGTATAACGAAGCCCTACGTTGTTTGGAGAGGTGGCGGAACAACAACTTCAAGAACGACAGAGACCAGGAAGAGGGATGGAGATCTCTTGTTATATCAAACTGTTAATATGGGAATGAACAGGGAGATATGTCGAGAGACCAGGGAGAGGGAGCGTTGGATTACCTCAGGCCTTAGCCATCTGTTCACGGCGGAAGTAGCCATCTGTTCACGGCGGAGAGAGAGAGAGAGCTCCCTCTATTTCTGGTTCTCTCTCCACTATAGAATAGAGAGGAAAAGAGCCCTTACCCGTCTTCTCTCTCCGTCTCTCCCCCTCTGCCTTCTCCCGTCCCTTCTGACGATCCCTCGTTCTTATAGCGCTGCTGCGTTGCCCTGCCGACCACGACTATTTTGGAGGGTCAAACTCCTTTTCGGTCAACAAAGAACGCTGGTCGGTCAAAATTGACGTGGCAGCTTCTGCACCCTCCGACTGTCGCAACTTTCTTGGAGATTCCAGAAGAAGCGATGTCGTGCGTCAATTGCCCGCCAGTGCATCGAAGCCTTCCACAGCTGGGGATTTCGTCAAAACCCCTTTTATTTAGAATACCCCTTTATTACACTAAAATAAACCCGCAACCATGCATATACTTAATGTCGGTATTGTCCTATTTTTTATTTACTTGAAATCATTTTCCCATATTCTTGAATGTTAAATATTAATGAATTTGTATTTTATTTATTGCTATAATCTATTCATGTTTATAAGTTATTTAAAATTAAACATTAAAAAAGAAAATGCTCAAGATTAGGATGTGAAATCGTCACACAAGGTGGGCAGACCACTGGCAGTCTAAGCCATTGAACCTGACCAACGGCCAAATTGACTGAGGAAATGTCATAATCGTAATTAGATTAGCCTCAGCTAGTCTAAGCGGGACTTAGCAGAGATGGATTAGAGCCAAAGTCAAATGGGCCAGGAACTTTTTGACTTGGGTCGAATCCAAAAGGTTCAAGCCGGACCAATCACCGATCCAGATTCGTGCCCAAAATCAGGTCAATTGACCAAAAATAAACGAATTGCATGCGGATTCAGGGCCAAATTCTGGCTGATCCAGCAGAACCTAGGAGTGCACTTTTGTGGGTCGGTCCAAGCCCTTAAATCCCTCTTAGACGGAATGCATTTAAATTCAATGGCCCAATCTTAGCTCTTAGCTCCCAAAATCGTGTGCATAAGTGTTGACTACAGAAGAAGCTTCTCTTCAGTATGTCAAGGGGTACATACGTATTGGCTTCAGAAGAGGCTTCTCACGTTTAAGTCAACGTGCACATCGAGTGGGGCAACTTCTGACGTCTGTCTCAAGAGCACGGCAGTCAATAAACCCTGAGGGAACACGAACACCTCACGAAGGCATCATTTTCGGACACACCAAGTTCTACGTGGTTAACGACACAAAACCTCACCACCTAGCAAAAAAACACAGAATCGGCGGCAATAACGGAAACAAGAAGCATCTCACGGAGGTCGGGCCATCTCCGGTGAGCTCCAACGTCGAAGCGGTGCTTCTCGCCCGCTGATCTCAGGCAGGCGAACGCGCCGGTCGCCTGAAGAAGCTGCTCGACCGCCGCCCGTCGCGGGGATCTGGCACCGCCAGCCCCTGCGCCCCGAAGCACAGGTACCTATTCACCAGCCTCGTTTTCAGGGAACCCAGCCCCTGGGAGGCAGAGGACCCGCCGCCGGGGGTGGTGGCCGGTGTGCCGTTGACGGATGAAGATTTTGAGCAGGAGGGCGGCGCGTTGGCCTCGTCTTCGAAGCAGACGCCTTTCTGCTGGTCCGAGTGGGCAGAGGCCGACGACCTCGAGACGGAGTACGCCGGCGAACTCTGCGGCGTCGTGCCGTCGGCGAGCTTCTCCTTCGTCGATGGGCTCGGCCCGGGGGCGAGCACCCTCTTGTTGGCATGAAGGGACGGCGCCGCCGGCTGGGAGAACCTCTGCCGGAGGGGCGTCCGGAAGCCCGAGGAGTCGTCGTCTCCCGACTCCCCAACAGCAACCTCTCCGGCCTTCCTCGCCTTCCGGCGAGGCCACGTGAACAGGAACTTGAGGTGCTTCGCCGCGGAGTGGACTGAGCTCCGCGTCTTCTTCTCCTTGTTCCCGGCGGAAGAGCCACCACTGCTACCGGCACTGGAGGGCTCGCTCGAGCAGGAACTGGACCTCCGGCTCCCCCCGTCGCCGGCGTCCGAGCCTCCGAGACCCGTGAAGAGGAACATCTCCCCGTCGGGTATCCTGAACGCGGTCCCCGGGCTGCAAGGAAACCCACCGAGCTGCCGCCGACCCTTCAATTGAGAAGAAGAAGAAGATGAAGAAGCCGCCACCGCCGCCGGCCGGAGCGAGCTCGACACCCCTCCGGCGGAGGCCACCCGCCGGATCAGAATCTCCGTCGACGCCGACCTCGGGCGCCGCCGGAGGAGATCCAACGCCGTCGACCCGTCGACGTCCTGGACGTTCAGGTCGATGGAGGGGACGGCGACCAGCAGCTCAACCAGCTCGGCAGGCACGTCTCCGGCTACCGCCAAGTGGAGGGCCGTCCTCCCATCGCCGTTCCTGGCGTTCAGCATCTCCTCGAGGTTCACCAGGTCGCCGGCGGCCAGCCGCCGGACGAGCTCCAACTGCCGGTCCAGCCGCCGGAAGCCGGAGGTCCTGAAGCCGGCCACCGCCAGGTGGAGGATTGTGTCCCCGCCGTTGTTGGTCGAGGCGGCGCTCGACGGTGACGCCGCCATCAGCGCTTCCAGAACCGGCAGCTGGCCTCGGAACGCCGCCACATGCAGCGCTGTGTTCCCTTCGTAGTCTCTGGAATCGACGATGTCCAGGGACGGCACGAGCCCCTTCACCACCTGCGCCGCCGATGAGCAAACCCCCCGATCACAACCACCACCTCGAACCCAGATCGGTCTGACTCCTCATGGAGGAAAAAAAAAGACTCACCTCGACCTGGCCCCTGCCGGCGGCAGCGTGCAAGACACTGGAGCCATGGACGTCTCTGAACTCGAGGGGATCAGAGGAGGTGGAGAGAAGCTCGAGGAGGATCTCCAGGTTGCCCCCTCGGGCGGCGGCGTGAGCGGCCCGGTTCACCATTTCCCACCTGAAAGCCAAGATGTTGTCCCCAGGGCTCTCCTGCAACGGCCAGGCGGCGCCGCCGGGGGGGCACCTCGGGGAGACGGCGAAATCCAGGAGAAGCCGGAAGACCTCAGAGCTCTTGCTCCTCGCGGCGGCGTAGAGTATGTCCGAGACGCCGTACTCGCCCTCGCCGAAAACCAGGAGGGGGTCTCTGTCCAGCAGTTCCCGGAGGAATCTCATGTCGCCGGCGGAGGCGGCGCTGTACATGAGCCAGCCGCCGTAGCCGGCGCGAATCAGGGAGTTCTTTCCGTTCTTGGTTTCGCACTCGAGAAGGAGGCTCCGGGCGACCTCGGAGCGGCAGCGGGCGGCGGCGGCGAAGCGGGCGTCGTCGTCCCAGACAGTCTCGAGACGGCGGATCCGGCGGAGGGAGGTGAGCTTGATCAGGAGGTTGTTGTCGATGTGGAGGAGCTCGCGGACGAGATCGTAGTGCCCATTGGCTGCGGCCCAGTCGATGGGCGAGGCGTACCACCACTGGTCGCCGGTGCTCTCCCACCGGAGAGGCAGGTAGGAATCACCCATCGCCGTAAAGGCGAAACGCGACGGGAAGAATTATCGGCAGAAGACGATGGGGAATGTAGAAGGTGGAGACCACAGAAATCTCAAATCCGGAGCAGGGAAAACCCAGATTTCGAAACCACGAGGCACCGACGGATCAGCCGGAGAAATGCGAAACTATCCAGCGATCAGAGACGATGATGAAGAAGAAGAACTGTCCAGGAGACCCTAGATTGATGAGATTCAAGAAATCGGGAAGCCTAGTGCCCGGGATTTGAGGCACGCGCTACACAGCACAGACGGCGGCAGCGTATTCCGGTGGGGAAGAAAAAGGAACCACTCGAAGGGACGAAGGGGGGGCGGGGACCCATGAATCTCCAAGGAACAAGGAAGGGAAACACGGAGGGCGACGGCGGGGGCTCTGCAACTGGGAGTCCCTCACCGGCTCCCGGGGAGGAAAAGAATGAGGGCCATTAGGGACAGGTAGGAAGGGAGGAGTGGAAGGCGCAACCAGGTTACTCGACGGCGGCGCCCCAGCGGAGGTCTGGTCTGCAGACAGTGACGTCGACGCCTATCCAGAACGAACAAGAAGAGCAGGATAAGTATGAGGAGGTACCGGAAGAGGTTTACTGCGGAGGGGTAGAAGACGCCATGTGAGCAGAGCTCAGGGGGAGGGAGGTAGGGAGGGGGGGAGATGGTGCGCTCTGAAGATGATGAGGGCGAGTTCTCGCCCACTCCAACTCCAGGTCTGCAACCTCACCAGCACCAGCAATAGCTTGTCGTGATGGGCGAGTACACTGTCCGCGATTGAGATTCCCAGGGCCACGTGAAGATGGCCATCATGGACCTTAATTATAATAGTAAAGAAGGAGTATTTATTAAAGCTGAGCATGTCACGTCGGCAACCCCACTGGCTTACATTTTTTATCCGAAACAAATAACACTCGTTCTTAATTTTATTGAACCCATTTTAATCCGAAATGTATAGTTGTCAGCTTTTTGGGTCGCATATTCTCTGCAAGGCTTTTTCTCGGAAATAAAAATAAATATATGATTATTAACGAATTTATTTCGACCCTTTTTAAAAAGTTTCAAACTTTCAAGACCAAGACTCAAAAATGTTTGTTAAAATCATATATTTAGTCTTGCAGTCGTGTTTTTAAAATAAAATTTAATCTGTTTATCAAGATAAGGCTCCACATGAAGCATTCCACCATTTATCTTAAATATGATAAATATTAAATACTTCTTAATGCAGAGCATGTCTATTGCAGACCTTTTTTTTTCAACTTCACTTATTTATTCAATAATAAATTTATAAAACCATACTTCGGTGGCCACATTTTTTATGTATAATTTAAAGTTCCCAACTTATTGGATTGGTTGTTCTTTGCAAGGCCCTTGCTCAAAACAAAATATATTATTTTAACAAGATTATTTTGTCCCAATAAGTAAAGATCAACAAAATAAATACTCATGTACTATAAAGAAGAATTATTTAATAAAAATGAGACTCTGATTTTTCATCATTATTTAAAAATTATATTATTCTTATTTATTAAAATATAATTCATCATGTAAAATGTTACCATATAGCTTAAGTATATTAAAGATTAGTATACTAGTGCAAATCGTATCACTTCCCCAACCCCACTATTTTCCTTCCAATTTCATTTTTTATGGAAAAAATATAATTTTTATGATTTCATTTCAATATTTCCTTCAAATATAATAACTTTATCAATAATAGCAGAAAAATGAAATAAGAAACATAATTTTAATGGTTTTACTTCGAACCATTATTTTCAATGCTTCCAGATTAAAACCCATTAAATGATTTCGCATTAAACTGGTTCTATCCAAAATCTATTAAAATTTAGAGCTTAAATGAAACAATTTTCATGTTAACACTAAGCGTGAGGTTTGTAGCATTGGATGGGATAGGAAAATCAATTGTACCTTTTAATCGATTTGGAAAAGTCCCAATTCGGATTTTAAAAAAATAACAATATAAAAAGGTAAAATTTACGAGAGACACGTCTTACCAAGTTTGTTAATTAATGGTATGAAAACTATTATGTATCAAGCAAAAACTTTCTACACACACACACATATATTATACACTGCTTCGTGTGAGGGCAGGTACGTGGGGCGGTGGCCGATCTGATGCTGCGTATGATGGGTGGGGGTCCACCGAGGAAAGTTAGAGCGCCGGTAAGTAGATCCAACCGGCCTTATTGGGCCCACACGTTTTATTGGGCTGGTTACAATGGGCTCTATGTCAGCCCGGGCCGGCCGGGTTTAAAATGTCGGTCCGCCGACCGAATCCTACATCGCATTGGCCGGAAAAATTTACATACACGCTGTCCTCTTCCTCCACGTGTAAGAAGCCAAACACTCTCACGCATTCGTGCGTCGCTGCGCCATGTAGGTGATATGGGGCCCTTAGAATTCAACGAATCAGATACGGTGTTTTGGCGATAACGTGACGCTTCGAGGCGTAATACGGTGCATGACTTCATCCCGCTGAGCCCCACACATTGTCGGAGAGAGCCTCCGCTGGGTACAAGTTGAGTCGGAGGATCTTCGTGTGCCACCTGGACAGAAACCTGCTACGACATAACACTCACCCTCCCCCGTGCTCTCCAACCCTGTCTCGTCGTCACGCCATCAGCCTGCTCTCGTTTCCTCTCTTAGACGGCATCTCCATCGTCTCAGTTACTCTGCTAGTCCGAACGACTCTCTCTCTCCCTCTCTCTCTCTCGCTGGCTCTCTGGGTCGCTGGTTCGCTGGCTTTGGTTATATGGAGCTTTACTGACTTCGCTTTTTTTGTTTTGTTTTTTCTGTATGCTTGCTGGATGTTGCAGCATCCGGAAAGAAGGTGAAGATCGGCATCAACGGTGAGTGCACCGTGTTCTTCTCTTGCTGAGTGGTTTCTCTATGCCTGATGTACTCTGGGGGGTCCGATTTTCTTCCTTCAATCTCAGTTGCGCGATTCTTTTTGTCCAACCTGCTTCGGTCCCCCTTCTTTTCCCTCGTTGCGGCGATTAGGTTTTATTTCATCCCTTGCCTTGAAAGATCCCTTCCACTCAATTTTCTCGTAGTCATTCGCTGTGATGCTGTAGGGTTCCGTAGGATTAGCTGCCTGGTGGTAAGGGTCGCATTGCAGAGGGATGACGTAGAGCTCGTCGCCGTCAACGACCCCTTTATCACCACTGACGACATGGTACAATACCTAAAAGCCCAACGCTTCCCTGGTCCTGCGCGTGCCTCTCTCGTAATTTCCGCTCAAGCATGATGATCTTGCGTGCCTTTTGAATGTAAGGCCGCTTCATGAAATGAAAAATGGATGGGTCCTCTTCGATATTCTAGAGTTTTCGATTATTCCGACTCTAGTTTGGAACTTGGTTCCATTGGCTGGTACCTTCTGTTACGGTCTGGATCATGACCCAATCATATATATATATATTCATTCATTCACGAAAAATCCAGATCTTCGTAGAATCTTATCAGAAACCCGCATCCAAAGCCGTTTATGGATTTACCATTTTTGCTAGTTACTTTTGCGGGTTCCTTATTTTTTGAATATTTGGGCCTGTTATTTGGCCTGGTCGTGTGATTACTATTCTAGATGTTATTTATTAATGACAGCGAATAGTAGCTTTTTGATGTTTGCCACCAGGGAGAGTAGAAAACAACGGCACCCTCGTTGGTGCATTCGCACTCTCGTTTACCATTTTTTTTGTCAGTTGAATCCGATTTTCTTAATGGGTTCTTTATCCTGTTAAAATATCCATCGTTTGATGCATCCTCTTTTTCCTCTTCTCTAAGCTACGTGTACTGTTTGATCGATATATCCGTTGACTTGCAAAGTTTCTGAAAATAGCATGTTCATGTTTTATGTGAAAATTAATTATTTGTTTAATCATTACTGTTGGAGCGGATCATTTACTGAACTTTTCATTGTGAAGCGGCTTTTCTTGGTGGTCCATGCCCAATAATTAATGTATATGATTTCAAAAGCTGTGGGCTTCGCCTGGCTCTCACGATCATGTTCTGTCCTAGTCTCAATGTGTGACCAGCAAGTCATGGCGGGCCCTGTTTCAGAAACAAAAAAGAAGAAATTTTAGCTAGTTCCTGAGCCCACTTAGGGTTGTATTTGATCATATGTATTCAATAAAGGAAATACTGGAAAATGTGAGACACTATAAATGCATGTGGGAAACGTGGAGCTACTTGTCCTCCCATTTTCTAAGCTTGGACCAGAGACGTCCATGGCAGAGCATGCCCTGCTAGGCCTGGGTTCTTGAGCTTCTTTGTGTTGCCCAAGCTTAACTTGAATTGCCTGGGCCTGTTGGGTCTCTGTGCTTTTCAAGCTTACAAACTACCTTATCTATCTGGAAATTGAATTGTATTTGCAGATTTTCCTTATCTGAGCCAATAGCTGCTGTTGCTTGTATTTCATGCGCTGCCTAATTGGACTACTAGCTGGTAATCTGCGTTCTATAAACAGATCATTTTCTTTATTGTCTATGGTGATATCTGTTCTGTGCTAGATTTTCCCTTGTTTCCCAATCAATTTTTCTCTCTCCAAAAAGCACAAGAAAAAAAAAGGGAAAAGAAAGAAGATGATTGGTTCCCGTTAAATTCTTGACCAGTGGGAGAACAGTATCGCTATTTTGTTGACTAGGTGTGGGGCCATCCCGTACTGCGAGTAATTGCAGTAAATCTCTCTGATGTGATGGATTTCTCTCTCTCACTGATAACCTGGGAGGGAGGGCACTTCTCAGTAGTTCAACGATCGTGTCTTTCTACAAGGCAGATTGACTTCCATTCTTCTGTAATCCACATCTTGCCTTGTTCTAAGTAGGATTTCCCCATATCTTTTCCTGTTTCTTCCCATTTCGTCCCGTGTTCCTTGATTTTGTGGCATCCCCTGCAGACATGCATGTTCATGTACGACACAGTTCTTGGACCCTGAAAGCATCACGAGCTGAAGGTGAAAGATTCAAGCACCCTGCTCTTCGGTGACAGGGAAGAGTCACCGTGTTTCGGATCAGGTAACCTCTCCGCTCCTACTAGTCTTTCCCAGTTCGTCCGCCAAGGGGGAAAGAAAACTGGGCCGCTCCCCTTGGATTCACTACTTGGTAGATCACTTGTAAAGATTTTCTTGCTCATCCTGTTGCTGAACTTCCTGGATGAAATTAGGAACCCTGAGGAGATCCCATGGGGAGAGACTGGTGCCGGATATGTTGTTGAATCCACTGGCATGTTTACAGACAAGGGTAAAGCGGCTGCTCATCTTAAGGTCACCATCTATGTACAGACATACCCCTATTATCCCCCAGCATCTCCTTCTGCCTTATTCCATTTTATTTATTTTATTTCTATTTCATCTGCATATCTTCAGTTCTTGTATTTCCTAAAAGGGCATGATCCATCCCATGTAAAATATCCTTCTTAATATTTTTCTGTTTACGTTTCTAATCTCGTTTTATTTTTTATTTCTATTTCATCTGCAAACCTTCAATTCTTCTGTTTCCTTAATGGGCATGATCCATCCATTTATCTCAGAACCCCTGTCTTTTTAGGACCAATTCCCTCTTTTATCATCGCTATTTCCGCTACCAGGGTGAGGGCCAAGAAGGTCATCATCTCAGCGTTGGTTCCACCATGTTCTTCGCTAGTGTGAATGAGAGCGACTACAACATCATCGTCTCCAACGCCAGCTTCACCCACCAGCTGCCTCGCTCCTCTCGCTCAGGTCCAGACTCCCCTCCCGTATATATAAAGTCCATATAAAGAAATAGATACATTGACGGGCCGGATGGGCCAGGTCGTTGTGAGACCCAGCCCGGCCCGACCAGGATAGCCACATGCCCAAACTGCAGGGGTCGGCCAAGGGCGAATGCTAGATCCATAGCCACATGGGAAGTGCAGGGGTGGCCATGTGGCAGGGAACATGGATTTGCAGGTTGAACATCCCCAAAGCCGGCCCGGCTTTGAAGCGTGTTTGGTCCCTTGCCACCTCTGGTTACATTGCACATTCAATATCAAGTAAATTGAGATGACAATGTGAAACACATTCTGTCTTTGATGTCAGATTTACGGTGGTAGATCTGAATATTTACAGCTTGGATGCCCATGGAGGAAGAATGACGAAGGCATTGGTTCAAAGATCTATAAATGAAAGCTCTAATTTCAATGCCAGACCTGGATGAGAGAGAATGAGGAAGACATTTGAAAGATCGAGGATCGCAGGCGATCCCCAGATACAATTCAAACCCAAAAAATAAGGGAAGGAAAGTCAACACAAAGGCACTGGTGGTCCAGGGATAAAAGCCCATGTCAAGTTCACCAAGGGAATCTTCCATACAAGGATTTATATGGTTTACATATATATATATATCTATCTGGCTTTAAATCAGCAAGGAATCTTACCTTTCCAGTAAGGGTAAGCTTTGCACATGTGCGATTCTCTGGATCTGCCCCACCACAAGATCCAACAGCAGGGTATTCACCGACTGTGAATGAAACCACATTTCTGCAATTTCATTACGAGTAACACATCAGAAAGCACTGTTCTTCAGGAAATTCTACTCTGCTATTATTCTTCAGCATGTCAAGATTACCCGAATGGGGTTCCTTGTAGATCAAGCTGATATTGTGCTGCAGAAGGAAAAAAAGAAGGAAGGTTCAAGATTCACAGTGGATGCACTATTGATCTTACCTAATTACTAGTACCCACAAGAATGCAAGATTCACAGTGAAAGTTTGTTCCCAAATTTTTTCAAAGGAATGGATGGAAGGAAAAAAAAACTGAGTTTTTTTACATCAAGAAGGAAATGAGATAGTAAAATGGTAAAATGAGGGGGGAACACACTTAATCAGATGAATAAACGCTAGTGGAATGTAAACGACAGTTAATAGATACGTAGTATGTATGAGAAGGGAAGATAGAGGCAAGAGAGAAAATGATCATAGGACGAAGGTTCAAAAACGCTTTGAGAAAAATCACAAAGAACCGCAAGAATCCACATAATCATCCCCCAATCGTGACGCCTGAAGGTAAAAAAATCAGATACAACGGATTGTGTTTACTAAGTTTTATCACTTAAAAGTAAATATGATTTCATTAATTCTGAAGATCCTAACTCAGAGTGAAATTGAAAGCCTAAGAGTATCGCCAAATGAGAAATGGAGAAGACCACAGAAAAGTTTTCTGCGGCCGTTTCAAGTCAAGCACAACCAAACACCATAGTTGGAAACAGAAGCTCACCTGAGGCACCCCGAGAGTTTTGCGTGGCAAGCCACCAGGCAGTGGCGGCAGCAGGAACTCGGGGCATTGGTGGCATTGGGGATAGTGGTTGTTCGTGGCATATGAAACAAGGATGTGTTAATTAATATAGCCTAATCAAAACTTGATCTCACTCAACTTGGTTAAAGGATCACCAAAGGTAAAGATGAGTTAAATTTTGTATGAGATAGTTGTATAAAAGGGAGGCAAACTAAATAATCCTTCAAATCTTAAGTTCACATCACTTCAAAGGGAGGCAACCATTAGAATTTCTATGCATATTTATTTAGACATACTATGATGGCAAGTCTTGGTGGAAAACATTCTTTTTTTGTAATCATTGATTATTACTAATGATACACATGGACGTATTTTTTAGTCTCCAAGGACAAATTTTTCATGTTTTATAAAATTCAAAATGAATTAAAATTAGAAAACTGTACCATAACAAAATGTAGTACGAAAATTTAAGTTTGTTGAAATTTTGTGATAAAAACAAAATGGAGTAGTGGAACAGAAAAATAGATCTTTATTGGATATTTAGGACCATATTAGCTAAAAGCAACTTACCTAAATACTTTTGGGTAGAAGATATAAATATTATTGGATGTGTTATGAATTTGCCACTAATATTAGACCCAAAATTAGAAAAATCCCATAGGAATTCTTAAAGAATAGAAAACCAATTGTCGCATAATTTAAACATTTTGGATACAAATATTTCATGTTGAACAATAATAATGAGGACAATCTTGAAAATTTTGATCTTAGAGGTGATGAAGTCATTTTTCTCAAATATTCATAAAAGTCTAAAGGTGATAGGATAAAAAATAGAAGAACTATGACAGTAGAAACATCTATTCATGTGAAGTTCATAAAAAATCCAAATCAGTAACAAGTCGACATGATATCTCTGATTTATCATGAATCTTACATCACATGAATTGAATTAGAGAATATTGGTCAGTTGATGTATTTTTATAATAACGAGCTAATACTTTTGTGGCAAAATTTAGGTTGTAGATATGAACTTTCAAATAATCAGTGGAAGGCTGAAGAGGAGGAATTCAACCCTCCAGTCAAATTGCCAAAATCTCAAGCTCAAATTTTTATATGAATTTAATAATATGCATGAAATTAAAGTGTCGCTCAAAAATTTCATGTGTTCTCTTTATGTTCATCCGACACAAGCCCCGCACTTAATCTTCACAAGCTCCGAGCGCCGCCACCTTCAGCCGCAGCTTCTTCACCAGCCTGAACCCCGAGCTTCGTGGCCGCCTCAGTTCTTGCGCAGGGACCATCAGCTCCGTCACCATTGGCGGCGTCGGGGCCACCCTCCCAAGCTCCCTCCCTCCGCAATTCATGGAACCTCACAATGACCGAACCCGTCCCCGGCACTATGAGCTACAGAGATGGAAGAGATTCACGTCTGAGAAATATTTCTGAACTATTTTTTTTATCTCTCACCTCACACAAATCATGTTAACGAAGTAGACATTCAGTTCTAAACATCATATAATTTATCTTTGCCCTCTTTTTTTTCTTCCAAGTGTTTTAGTTTTTCATGATGGATGTAAACTTTATGCGATCATTTAACCATTTATCGATCATAATTCGTCACGAATCATCGGTTGCTTGGTTTATATGTTTCAAATAATTAACTGGAGGTTTAGTTATTTGGAGGTGAGGAAGTATCATCATTCTGTAGAGACGTGCCAACTACAAGTACCCATACTTCACGGACAGCAGTGCAACTTTGAGAACAGCTCGGAGTCAGAATCCACCTCAGCTACCAGAACCGAAACTGAGCAAGAAGGGAACTCAACTTCCCTGGATGGATTGCCCTCTGTAGATAGACCCGCCAGTGCCGGTCTGCCGGATTGGCCTGTGCTGGTCTCAGTTGAGTCTTCTTATCTGGTTCTTTGCACCAAGAAATTATACCTGCCGTATAATTTTATGAAAAAGACGACTACTCTGATCATATAAATTTGTCTCCGTCATTGACTTTGACTTTCTCTGTTAGGAGATCGCGCGTGGTTGACCTCATCCGCCACATGGCCTCCACCCACCCAGTGAAGGGGAGAGAGGGAGAGAGAGAGAGAGAGAGAGGGTCGTCGGGTGCTGTTCTCCTCGGCTCTTTTTTGTTTCGCTCTCATATTCTGGAAAAGTAGGACCCTTTTGCTGGATTAGGGTACTATTTGTGTTTCTCTCTCTACTCTCTCTACTCTCTGAGACTGCAAATCGACTCTTCTGTCTTCCTTCTCTCATTTCTCCTATCTAGATAGAGTCCTACCCACCCACCCCCATCCCTCCCCCCTCTCGATCTCCACTTCCTCTTTCATCACATCCCAGCTACGACTGTTCTCCCTCTCTCTCTCTCGCTACGTTCCCTCTCTATCAGTATTCCGGGCTTTTTAGAGGGCCCATTTGAAGCCCGCATACATACGATTCTCCATAGAATCAATTCCGAGATTCGTGGGGTGATAATTGATGCATATACCTCTCGTGACAGCCATCTACGAAAATTCCCCAATCCCGCGAATAACCTTACCTCTTTAGTTACCAGATGAACAGATGGAATGACCTCACCGCACCGTATGTATCAGGTCACCGCGATACCAAGAGGAAAATTCAAACAAGCTGACCGTTGGAGGCCAGAACCGGGAAGAAATAGCCGTTGCGCTTCTCGTCTTCTAGGAGCTTCCGTTCCTCGTACTCTTCGTCCCTGCTTCATCCTCCTCCTCTTCCTCCTCCTTTCTGTTCCCCCTTCTGGCATCAGATCTCCTCCTCCGTCCATCCTTCGTCCTCTCTCCTTCATCAAAAACCATCCGCCGCTCGCTCGATCAAACCAGAGCACGCAGAAAATCCCCCAGAGAGGAGGTGATCCAAGGTGAAGCAGGAAAGATGGCATCAAGAACCGTGACCAAAGACATCATCACCCTTAAGGGCTCCGCCGCCATTGTCAGCGAGTTCTTCGGTTCTCTCTCTCTCTCTCTCTCTCTCTTCTCCGTTCCTCTTCTCCGTTCTCGATTCCTTCTAATCACTGCTTGATTTCCTTCACTGTTCGTCTCGTATTGGTGCTCGCGGAATAAAGGTTATGCGGCGAACAGGTAAGATGAATCATGAATCCGTTTCCACTCCTCCTTGTCCTCTTCGATCCGATTCTAACAACGGCGTGAATCTCATCGAGCAGCATCCTCTACAATCGCGGGGTCTATCCAGAGGAGTCATTCGCCAAGGTGAAGAAATACGGTCTGCCGATGCTGCTCACCCAGGACGACGGTGTCAAGTCCTTCCTTACCTCTCTCACCACGCAGTTATCCGGTAGGGTTTCCCCTCAAACAAGAGTCTCCCGATTAGCCTCCGCCCCTTCCTCCGGGACGATTATCTGACGAGTTCTATCCATGGCAGAATGGCTGGAGAACGGAAAGTTGCAGAGGATCGTCCTCGTGATCATGAGCAAGGCCACCTCCGAGGTACTGGAGAGGTGGAATTTCAGCGTGGAGACAGATGGAGAGGTCGTTGAGACGGGGTGACGACAGATATAACCAACCCCCTCCTCTGCTAGGGTTAGTTTTTTCTCCTGAGAAATTTTCTTACGGGGGTTGTTGGTGGTGGATGTGGATTGTTTTCTTCAGGGTCCCGAGAGAGAAGAGTGACAAGGAGATAATGAGGGAGATCCAGGTGATAATGAGGCAGATCGCCTCCTGCGTCACTTACCTGCCGTGCCTCGACGAGCCCTGTAAACCCCAAACCCTCCTTCCTGATAACAGCCCTGTAAATCCCAGTGGTGGCAGATTCTCCACTGAAACTGCCGCAATGAGGAGTTCCTCATCTTCCCGTGGATGATGTTTCAGGTGTGTTCGATGTACTGGCCTACACGGACAAGGACATGCCCGTCCCCTTCACCTGGATCGAGAGCGACGCCAAGCTGATAAAAAACCCGCAGATGGTCAAGCTTCATTCCTTCGACACTAAGGTCAGTTGCTCTCTTCTCTCTCTCTCTCTCTCTCTCTCTCTCTCTAACTACTGCCTCCGTTCGCGCAGATTCACAAGGTGAACACGCTTGTTTCTTTCAAGAACGACGAATGGGACGAGGAGTAGACCAGCCCACTGTCTATAGAATCGGAAAGGTGGCAGACGGCGATGGGGGGGACGGGGCGTACTTCGTGTGAATTGTGCATTCACAACTCTCGTGGGGATCTGCTCTTACAGTCTCCTCTCCCTCTCTCTCTCTATCTCAACGAAGACTCTTTGAAATGCACCAAAGGTTTCATTCTTGAACGATTTTGACAGCTCATAGTCTGTAAATCTCCTTCCGACAAGGTCCAAGGAGGCGGCGGAGCCGCCCTTTCGCCGGCGGTCGTCTTTCCTGTTGTCTCTTAATTTTCATGCACCATCAACCTTGAAATCATACGCATTAAGACACTAAAAAAAAGGGGGTAACAAATTACTTAATCTATGTCAAAAAATTCCAGGGAGGAAAAAAGCCCTCCCTTTTTCAGTGTGCATATGTGGATGCCTTCGTACCCAGATTCTTCTATGATCTTCTCACATGCTTGCTTTTGGGTCTTCATTGAGATATGGTGGCTTATAAACCCACTTTTAATCTCAGATGAAATTATTATCGCCGGAAAATCAGATCAACTGTTATTTAAAAAAAATTAAAATGTCAAACTCCGATATCGGCAGAAATATGAGCTTCTTTTGTGCAGTGTGCATCGGATTTTGACGCCTCAAAACGTTGTATCTCTCTCTCTCTCTCTCTCTCTCTCTCCTCACTCCCCAGCCCCCCCCAGATGCGGGTTTCTCTCTGCGAGCGGACTTCTACGCTTATATTTTTCTGAATTTTCGACCGCTCTTCTGGTGTGTGTTTGGATAAAAACACAAACTTTGGAATTTCGCGAGATTTCTGAACAAAACGTGCAGATGGCAGAGGTGCTGGGCAAGGATTTCACGTAGCGTGAAGAGGGCGGCCCCATACTTGGTAAAACTGAAAATATCCTAGTTCAACATAATCATTCACCACTAAAGCTACATAATTATTACAGCCAAGGTTGATCCAATCCCCCATGCTGCTTGCTCATCATATGCCTGCCGCCCCTGGAATTTCATCTGGTTCAGATGCAGCACTCCAGCGAGGGGGAGACGGCAATCTGGTCCATCTTTTATTGCCACAAAGTCAACTGCGGTCAACGGCAGTCCTCCCTGTTCCCCCGTGGAACGAAGGATATCCCTGAGGCTCACTCAGCATTCCATTTATAGCGTGGGTGGGATCCAAATGTAGCCGTGGGTCTGGACATATCCCGCCTTGGCGAGCAGCTCGTCGGCTTCAGCGGGTCCACGGCTGCCCGGCTTGTAAGGGAGGGACTTGATCTCTCCTCCATCTATTTTATGAAGCAGCGGGGTGAAAATTTCCCATGCGGCCTGTTTTTAAATGGATAATAAGTTAATCCGTGTATTTCTCATAAATATTATTTTTTTACTTTATTATTGAAAAAAAGTTATGGGTACCTTCAGCTCATCCCTGCGGACGAAATGCTGCTGATCTCCTCTTATCCTGCAGAAAGAAAAAGAGGAGCCGCTGGTCTTTAAGTTACTGTTTTTGGGTGGATTTAATGGATGAAGATGAGGGTAACTAGCAGGGTTTCGAGGCCCACGTGTCAAGAATCAGCCGTTCATATGCCTCGGGGATCTGGACACCTTGATATCGTTGCCCATAAGAGAGATCCAGCTCGCTCTGGATGGTTGACATCTCCAGTCCGGGCTTCTTGACCTACAGAAAATAGGAATCTAAGGTCAGAGACCCAATGCATAATAATTCAGGCTAAAATTATATGTTTCAATCAACTCAGAGCATAAAATGGAGCCCATTTTGATCCCAAAGTTTGCTTTTTAATTAAATTCAAGGAACTTACTGTAAGTTTCATGTACATCGCTTCTGAAGGCTGCAGGCGGATGACAAACTCATTCCTGCCTTGGGATTGACCTGCATGGAGAGATTCGAGTTTGAATGCACAACCAAAGAAAAATCCAATTCCGATAGGAAATAAAGTAATACTTAAAAACTTTAAATCCCAGATTATTTTTTTTTCAAAAAGAAGGAAAGAATAGTAAATATTTAAAACCACACAAATACTGGAAAGGTAGATGTTTTATGATTGAAAAGAGTAAATACCATAGATTTTTAAAGAAAAGAAGGCTCACACTTAAAAATATCACCGGGAACATCCTTGAACTGGACGCGAATTTCCGCTTTCCTTGAATTCAGGGCCTTTCCTGCCTTGAGAATGAATGGAACCCCTGTGGAGAATGGCACTTTGGTCAACGCCAGTAGAAAATAGAATAGAAGCCAGTCTTTTCTTCAGGAACCATTTGACTGTGATAATCAATCTAGTGGGAATACTCATCACACCTTCCCATCTTTCGTTATGAATCCGCAGGACGACACTTGCAAAAGTTGGCGTGTTTGAATCTTGAGAAACTGTCGGGTCATCTTTGTAACCATCGTATTGTCCAAGAACAACGTCCTCCGGGGCAATGGGCAAGACTGATTGAAGAACCTGAAATAACAGCGCTAGACGATATTTAACGTTGAAATATTCAGGATTCAGACATTATTTACTGATAAAATATGATTTTTTGTTACCTTCACTTTTTCATCTCGAATGTACTCAGGCTTCAGAGAAACGGGCTTCTCCATGGCAACCAAGCAAAAGACCTGCCGTGGATTTACAACAAGAAGTATGCCATATTATGATTGAATTTCAAATTGGAAAAAATAACCATAACATTGTAGAAACCGAAGCGCAAAGCAGAGGAACCCGTGGGTTGACGAGGATTATCAAGGCCCACTTCCTCTTAAGGCATATAAACATATATCTAGTCTTCTAAGAGGAAGTGGGCCTTCCTCTTAAGACTTGGGCAAACGGAAAGATCCACTGAGATTATGGCCCATATCTAGTCTACTCCCATCCCATCCACGTATATCTAGTCTTCTAGGGTCCACCTCTCCTTGCTTCTTGGATGTGGGTGGACGGATGATGTTCTCTTACTTAATTCGATGGTCATTTAGCTTAAAAACTAAATTAATGTGCAAGCCATATCAGATATGGGCAGCGTTCTTTTATTCTGCCATTAACATGTGCCACTCCTTCCCAATATCCCAACGGGAAATCATTGCTGTGCCCTAGTTCAGATTATTATTGAGCCTTTATGATTTTAGACCAGCTCATTTCTTCGAAGGAGATTTTTTTTGCAAAAAGGATAAAAAGTAACACCCGGAAAAAAATCACAATAAATCCAACCGACCTGCAATAAGTGGTTTTGTATAATATCACGAATTATCCTGCAAAAAAATGGGTTCATATAAGTCAGCCACCGTGAAATTCATGTTTAATGGAACTACCAAAGTAATTGGACCAATTCATGTGAAAAACAAATCAGAATATATGAATTAGAATACTGATTATGGTTTCCAAATCAAGGAAATTATTCTAATTCGTACCCATATTGGTCAAAATAGCCGCCTCGCCCTTCAGTTCCAAAATCCTCCCTGAAGACAATCTGAAGAAAGACAAAAAATGAATCGTGCAAAAATCGGTTCTCATGCAAGGTGACGCCGAAAAAATGAACATATTAAGACGCTACTATTAATTCGCACGGCTTAAGTCGCAGTGACTCGAGTCCAGATATTAAAGAAAGAGTCGGACCTGTATGTTAGCAATGTTGTCGCGGTTCCATAGTGGCATAAATAAGCGGTTGGCAAAGCGAAGAACCAGCTGCCAGACAAATTAAAATGGGTAAATGGATTGATCATCATATGGGATGAAGATCAAGGTCAATCAAGAGACAAGTGCGTACCAGATTCTGGACCAGCTCCTTCCCCAGGTAGTGATCAATGCGGTAAAGTTGGGATTCAGTAAAAAGCTCTCCAAGATGTGAGCTTAGTTCCTCCGCAGAGCTCAGATCCTTTCCAAAAGGCTTCTCAACGACGATCCGGGTCCACCCACCAAGATCAGCTGGTAGGGGAAAACAAATTTTAAATTCGAGGATCGATGTAAAATCATGAAAGTGGGTACTCGTGGTAGAAAAATAATATTTACTCGTCAGTCTAGCATCAAGAGCATACTGAGGTGGTCGGAAATGCTATGAAAGTAGGAAAAAAACGTAATTTTGAGAGTTTGATCCGTAATGGAAATCGTACATGGAGTTGGTTCCTTTCTTCCCTTTGAGAGAAGTGGAGCACAGGACTCGTACTGAGTGAAGAGAATGGCCATGCCGTCCATTGAAGAAAAAGTAGAGGGAGTTCAAAACTTACACTGATTCATACAGTAGCTCCTGATCATCTTGCAGACGGATGGATAAACTGAGGGTGGAAGAGCAAGATAGAAGAGCCTTCTGGATGTTCCTACTTGGATGTTTCTCAACGACTCGTGTCGAGATATTTCCTTGTCCAATAATACGAAGCCCTCCTCCTGGTCGTAAGATCCGCTGACATATTTTATCTGCATGTTTTAACTTAAAATTTTAAGTAGAATCCTCTCACACGACAGGCAATCGTCAAGGAGAACAGAGGGAAAATATACCAGATGCAGGAAATTTACTAGGTCTTCTGACTCCCCATCTTCACCTTTGCTAAGATACCTGGGAAAATATTGCCCCCACGTCATGCCATCAATATGTACACACACAGATATATATATATATATATATATATATATATATATATATATATATAGAGAGAGAGAGAGAGAGAGAGAGAGAGAGAGAGAGAGACACGGAACCAGATGCAAAAACTTCTGCTTAAGATTACCACCGATGGTTAGATGGGAGCTAATATTTGTTCACGACGCCAAAAATGCACTAAAATAGGAAGAATATTCCGAGGATTCAAATAATAAAAAATGCGTCACTGCACATTCCTTGAGATATCATATTTGATGATCGAGCACAGTTTCAACAAAGAAAGCCATAAAAGATAAAGGGGACTGACTTATGGCATTATCAAGCTCAAAGTCAACACAACCGACTTCTTCCTGAGGGTGAAGGAGACATAAAACAGAGAGCTGAGATGCGTTCTTGCTGAACTGGTCTGTCTAATGTTTTGTTGAAGAATTCTGTTATACCAAAGGATACAGGAAGAACATTCATTCATCAGTGCTCCGCATGAAGCCATTAGACTGGTAAACCTTTTCAATGTTTGATCGGTTGATCCGTTCAATCTTCATTGAAAGGACACACACTATTGTTCAATGTTTGATCTGTTGTATGGCTAGTTTATCTCACAAACCCTCCCCGAAGAGCAAAAAATCATCACTAGATTTCTAGATTCGGTTCACCTTATCAAACCATGGGGAATGATAAAACTGTCTCACCTTCCACTTCCAATATCATTCCACAAAAGTAAGAGGTAAATACAGATGATAGAGTAAATATCCCTTCGTTTTCGTGTATCATTTCTGGATGAAACTCCACAGAAACATTGAAAAAAAAAAAAAAAAAACCCTTACCCACGAATCCGATCTCTTAAACCTTCATCTGAGAGCTTTGTCCGCGCATACCCAAAAATATGAACTTCGTGAGATTGCAAAAATCCCTACATAAACGGTCAACCAACATAAGAGGGTTATCATGAATGTACATATTTATTTATGCATATACTGGCGGTGATTCTTGGGATGCACCACGAGTCAAAGTAGCAAGAAGGCGAACCTGCTTGAAGAGATGATAGAGTGCTGGAAAAGTCTTCTTCTTGGCAAGGTCTCCTGACGCACCCAGCACGATAATCGATAGGCATCCGGTTTCAGGAACAATATCCAAGTCTCTGTCATCTGATGGGGACCTAACGATTGCTGTTGACATCTCTAATTAGGCCTCTGGATCCTTCACACTTGATGTCAGTGGTTCACTGTACATATTATTATAGGCGCAGCTCAGTGATTGATGGCCTTGAAACTGTCAGGCAATTAAGAACCCCGGAGATTCCCGAAGCCATTCAAGAAAAATCGACAGATTTATAGAAAATAAACCCCATTGTCACTATTTTGAATAAGTAAATCAGTAAATTACTGAGCCCAAAGGAACATCAACGCTAAATTGATGTGCTGCCATTTGATAAGAAATAAAACATCGGAGATTAATGACTCAGAAAGAAGTTGGAAAATTAAGAACCGCGGGATATTCCTCTAGCCATTGAAGAACAATTGACAAAGTCATAGAAAATAGATCAGACTGTCAATGTTAAAAGTAAGTAAAATAAGTTAATGAAACAAAAAGGAACACCAGATGTATATTGATGTGCTGTTCAAGGATGATCAGATGTCAAAAAGGTTTGCCATTGAGAGATGGTCCTACAACTGATGTAGACATTAAAAATCAATGTTATCTTCTTTTTCTTTAAAATCAGCTGAACTTTTCATAAAGTTGGCGTAAATTTCTTTAAAAAAACCTCCAACAAAGATTCAAGAAAAAACCAGACATTCTCAGTTGCCGAGAGGAAAAATATTAGGCCAAATGATCGAGGAGAAGATGAGGTGATGGAAACTATCTGGCTTCCACTATAACAGCACAAATCTGCCATCATCATCATAATATTGATGGTGAATTTTTACTGTGCATAATCTTCCGCACTAGCCTCTCATTTATTGGGAAATAAGCGAAGAACCAAGAAAAATTTAAGCGTCCATGGTAGAGGGGACTATAAATCATTTCTTCAATCACAAAGGGGTCAAGAATATCTACTCTTTCAACACAGAGATAAGTCAAACACATGGAGAGAAGAAAAGATTTCCAGCAGCCAAGAAATACAAGCGAGCAGGACCAGATATAATTAGGAATTACCAATTAAGCACGAAATTAATTCTTCCACGGCAGAGGACTCGGCGATTCTAATCGAACGCTGAGAGAACATTTATGATATGCTGGTCACCGAGATAACTGATATGGGGAACGAGAGAGCCGAGCAATTCGGGACCCAGAGGAGATGATAAAGAGAGAGAACGGATCGATGAAGACCGAGAACAGAATTAAAGAGGACCAGACTTACCCGATAGTAGAACAGGAACGGAGAGACGAAGAACAAAGCTAAGCCTCTCTCTCTCTCTCTCTCTACTAGAAAGAGAGGTTAAGATGCCCAGATCACGGGAAGCACCAAATGACGCGAGGACCGGGAGTCTTCTAAGTTGTACAAAAAAATTTAGAGTCCCGATCGGGAAACAAAGAATTCGGCGAGAGAGAAGTTTGGTGACCTCACCTCTTTTTCCCTCCAGCCTGATCCCCGCGCTGGTTCCGGATCTGTCTTCCCTCCTGGATAATATAGCGAGACAAGTCCCGCAGAGAGAATGGGTGATGGGAGTCAATGATGCTGAAGGGGACCGGGGGGGTGGGGGGGGGGAGACAGACAGATGGGAGGGGAGAAAGCGACTAGGTAGCCGTCCTCACCTACCCCGTTTCTGCCTCGCCGCCTAACGTGACGTCGTCCATCAGAGTACAAGGGTGGAACGAAGGACAAATCATTTTTTTTTTATCATACTAATATCTGATATCTTCACCCCGGATATACCGGTCCCCCGTCTCCCGTCGGAGTTCTAAGCTTCTCACGTCTGATATCTGATCTCCTCTCGCATTGGGGGGGGATCCCCGCGGTATGCGGTTATGAGACCGAGTTGGCGTGAGCGTGCGCCAGCCGTTGACTGCTCCCGGTCAACGTGCTCCCAAGGGGAAGGAGGAACACATTGGAAGCTTCGATTTTGACGATCGCCAGTTGACGAGACACCCACCGGAGTCCCTGTCCCTGGGGAAGATCTTATGAGCCCTCCGGGCCCACATGGGATCGAGGGAGAGAGCCGGCTCATGATATTTTGGAGCTCTAGTTGTTTGTAGCCCTCCTCCGGTCTACGAGGCGGCGGCTCACGGAAAGTCAAAGGGAGGCACGCTCTGGAAATCACAAAATGATGGAAAAGGTGAGCGGCGTCAACGGCCCGCCCCGAGCCAGAAACTGTAGCCCCCAAGCTGAGCCATTTCTGGGCTAAGCCCGAGCCCAGGAAAACCGGCCCCTGCCAGCTGGCCAGTTGGGACCCCAAGAAATAGGTGTTTTTCCACCATGTTCGTGAATTTATTTTATTTTTTTGATAACGGTAGAGGACAGCGGTTTACCGATAATAAGGAAGAAAATTCTAAAATAATTTCCTTCTCTGAACATGCACGCGGGATGGTCGCTCGGCCGGTCGGCCACGCCGTCCACCTCAGATTTGCACTTTTTTGGTGTGCGCCCACGTGGAGATAGATGCCTCGGACGCGTGTTCCACTTCCCGAGCATCTCAGCAGGTCTTCTTCTAGGCGCCGTTGACATGTTGACCTTCCAGAACGACCGTTGTGGTCCGGGTCCACTCCTTGAAGGGCGTGACTAATCTGTTGACTACATTTGACCCTCATTAGCTAGCTTTGGCTGAATATTTTATGTACCGCAAACAACATAGTTTAGTAATTTATGATGATCTCTCCAAACAGGCATAAGCTTATCGGCAAATGTCTCTCCTATTAAGAAGACTTCCGGGTCGTGAAGCTTATCCAGGAGATGTTTCTTTAGCTTTCTTAGATCGGAGAGAGATGTACATCCAGTCTTACTCTTAGCATCTGTCAAAGAAACTTTGTCAGACACAACATAATAAATAATATGAAAAATACATGCCACGTGTAAAGGCCCGATAAAAAAATGAAAATGGACTTTGGGCTCGTCAATCATGGCTAATGTGTGGAAACAACCACTTACTAAGTCAATATATTACTATTATTATCTTTAATAATAATAATAGCAATCTCTATATGGATCTATCAATCTATCCATACATAAATGCATTAAGATATAGGACTGTCAACCATAAAAATATTACAGGAGAGAAGAGTACTCTACCTTATATATATATAGAGGGAGAGAGAGAGGTATAATAAGATATAATGGGCCTATTAAGCCCATTAGGCCCATACAGTTCACTCACACTCAAACTTAGTACAAAAAATATTATAGGTCACTCAAACTTTTATGAAGATATCCATTAGTTGCTCTGAGGATACAACATGTGGTATTATAATGAGTCATTTAAGCTTTGTTGTAGATATAATGATAATCCACCTTAATATGTTTCATATGTTTATAAAATATTAGATTGATTATGATGAAGATTGCCACCTAATTGTCATAATACATATACATAAAAGTACAGACAAGAAATTACAACTTCTAAAAATGTAATCATATCCACATCATTTCACATGTCATATATACCATAACTCTATATTTAATTTTAACATTAGAATGAAAGACCAAGTTTTGTTTTTTACTACACTAAATGACAACATTTCCTCTAAAATATGTGTAATACTCAGATATAAATTTTTAATCACCCTTGTCATATGCATAATAAAAATTTAAGTCTATGTCATTAATATAACCAGCGTCATTTTAGAACATATTTGACATATGATAACACTCTTAATACTCCTAATTAATATATTTGTCATGACTCTTACATAAACTAATTGAGAAGTTTCATAGTGTAAACAATGTCAGGGCAGGTGACTATCAAGTAGATTAACTTCTCAATTAATTGACAATATCGATTGACATCCTCAAGAAGAAGAGAGGTGATGTCTTAAAAATTGAATTGTGAGTCAATCAATGATAACTTAGGTTTGCACCTAAGAGCAAAACATCTTTTAACAAATCCAACATATACTTACATTGAGATAGAACCATTCATTTACGTTGATAGGTGAACTCAATCCATAAGAAGCAACAAAGTTTATCTATATCTCGAGTGACCAAATGTTCATATAAAAGGGCTTTGCTCTATGTAATGTCATCCGTATCACTACTTGTGAGAAATATGTCATCAACATGCATAACAATATGTTGAAATTACTAAAGATGACAAGGTTCATAATAACATGCCCACATATCCTGAAGGTTGCTCCATAAAAACTTGTTAAGTCTCCATAAAGAAAGACATTAAAAATGTCAAATTTTGTGAACATCCACCTTAATTACATGTGTGACAATGTGTGACAATGTCAAATGACAGTGTGCCCCCGTGTGGCGAAGATGTGCCAACGGCACCGGTGTGCGCTGCTAGTGAGCACACAACATGCAAGGCATGCACCATTGGAGGAGAAAAGACAAGGGCCGGCAGGGGGGAGGCCAATGTGCCTTAGTATGAGGTGGGGCAGCAGGGAAGGACCGGCGTGCCCCAGAATTAGAGGGGGCCCGGCAGGGGGAGGCCGACGTGCCCTAGGATGAGACAAGGTGGCAGGGAAAGGCCGGCATGGCCTAAGATGAGAGGGGGTGGCAGGGAAAGACCGGTGTGCCCTAAGATGAGGGGCCTGGCGGCATGCCCTAATGCGATGTGAACCGTAAAAAGGTGTACAAGGAGAGAGAGTCCTCTACCCTATATATATAGGGAGAGGGAGGGAGAGAGAGAGAGAGGGAGAGGTACGATAGGATATAATGCGCCTATTAGGCCCATACTAAGCCATTCCGGCCCACTTGTTTGAGGACCAGATTTGAAGCCCCCCAGATGCAACGAACGACCCAATCTCTGGGTCTCCCACCCTTGTTCGTTGACCGTTGGGGAGGGGGGGTTTCTTCACATCTTGAACCACTTGGGCTTGGTCGTCTTCTTCTCTGCGGGCCTCTGCAGCTCTGGATCGGCGGCGACGGCAGGGGTTCGCTCCTCTTCGGCAGGGGGCTCCGCCTCAGGTTCGGCCTTCTCAGCGGCGGCGGCTTCCACAGCGCCCAGAGAGAGGATGTCTTCGCGGAGGAACGGCACCGATTTCTCCTCTTCGCTTCCTACGAAGTGTCAAACACAGACAGACATAGAGGGGAAGCCCTCTTTACATAGTCATTCTTAGCGAGTGAGAGAGAGAGAGAGAGGAAGTGATGTATATGCATATAGATGTGAGTGAGTCTATCAGTCTGCCCCTCAACCTATCCATCTGTTAATTATTATCCTGGAGAGATGGAAGGAGTAGACAGCACCTTTGGGTTGGTCGTAGGAGAAGTAGACGATAGCACCAGGAGCAAACCCGGCAGAGTAGAAGTCCACGGATGCATCCTTGATCCGCTGCTTTGGGGGCGTCGTATCTGCATCAAGATAATGCGAGTTCTTGAGAATGGGCATCCACGGGGAACCCCAACTCAAAGAGACCATGAGGGATGGCACAAGAGATCCACACAATAAAATAAAATAAAATCCAACTTCGCCCCATCATCAGTATTGACACCGAAATGCAGCCGCCTCCAGCACGAAGAAAAGGATGAATAATGGGTAAAGCCCATCATCTCGATGGAAATCGGGCATTACTAACATAGGTAGAAGGGCAGATCCGGCCTGGCAACTGCTTTAAGGAGAAGATCAATTAAGCTCTGAATTGTCTCTGAGGGACGAAAGGTTGCCTCCAGCACATAGTTATCTGGGAACTTGACCCTGATGATAGCCTAGAGAAAATCAGAGAGACATGAACCAGTCATCGCGGCATCCCAACCGGTGGCAGCTAGCAAAGAAACAACTAAAACAACGAAGGTTGTGAAGTGACAAAAACAGTGAATACAAACAATTGCTTAGTAGGTAATGGAATAATGGCTCAGCTTATTGAAGGATTTCATCCCCTACGTCACAAAAACTTTTATGTATTGATTAGACCAAGCATCGATGACTCATGTTTCATGGACGACCTCAAGAAGAACATCCATGGACTCATCAGTCAAAAGAAAAGGATTTTATACCCCTGACGTTGAATGAGTCAAGAATATATGATTTTTCTAAAGATGTTTCCCGTTTTAAGATTTAAAAGCAAGTCGGGATTCAAACAGGTCACACATTGGTCAGTCATGCCGAGGGGGTGCCACAAAATTACTAAGGCAAGCAGAGATATGAAATCAGATCTCTACGGTTTAATCTGTAAGTAAACTCGAAAATGAAAATGACGCATAATACAGCTCTATTCTGTGTGGCATCACCTTATTGGCACAATTGAGTTACACTCACTAGAAAGAGCATAACACCAGAAGGGACCGTTCTAATACACCAAGATATTTAATCTGCATCGCATATAAAATGCCTATTGTTTTTATATTTTTTAGATATGCTATCATCATAGATTGCACAAATCCAACCGAATTTCATCCTGATAAAACTTGCATAAAAAACCCTCAATTTATTCAAAGTAGCTATGCATCCCACTGACAGCTTTTACGTGATTCTCTCTCTGAGGTAGCATTTTATACGGCTTAAACATTAGACAGAACTCGATATCATTTCCCAGATTTTTTCCAAGCAAGACAACGAAACACAGCTGATTACTGTACACTTTTTTAATCAAATGATAGCAAAAAGAATCTATATCAGGTCCACTTCTATTTCTCTTAGAGTCTTTTGGAATCGTTTAGTTCTTGGTATTAGTTCTTTAGGAATCCAAACATGAGAACAATGACATTGGAGCTTGAAATAAGATAATTTCCTTTTCAACCACATGGAATTCAGGAAGAAGAATCCTGAATCTCATAGAACCAGAAAAATAAAGGTAATACCAGAGAAAGTAGATGAAGCACTGGACGATTATCGATCACACCTTGGTTATTCTTGCCCTACGTGCAGCAGACTCTGCTTCGCGAATCTTGCGAGTCTTCAAAAACTGATCTATTCGACACCACATGGCCCATGAAACAGTCAAGCTCTCAGAGAAATAACAGCGGGTTACAGCAAAATTATTATTAACCAAATGACTAATTCATGACCTATGTCCAAGGGAGCTGATGGTATTAAACAATCAACAATACCTCTAATTTTGGTAGACACAGTTCTGTAATAATCATCAGCAGTGAATTCGTAGAAATCATCATCCGGTTCATCTTCTACAATGAGCAAATAGAATGTATGAGAATGGACACGAAAACGCCATTCAAAGTGGTGTCTCTATTTGTGGACGCTATGCTCATGGATACAACTGATGACGAATTAAAATCCGAGTTAGAAAATTAGAAAGATGTCAAAATATTAAGGGTTTCAAGGTTTATAGAAGGGAATATAATTATAAGAAAAAGTGAACTTCCCATTCAATTTTAACAATTGAGGGTTAACTTAAAAGAGTATTTTAATCATTTACATTTCATAAATGAATCATTTATGAAAATAAAACAGACAGTAAGGTTTTGGTCCCATGGTTGTTGTATTAATCTGAAATCGAAAGAAATGTTATACAAGAAAGCTACAATGTATCTGAACAGAGGGCTATGGAGTTAACCAAAAAAAAAAAACTAGAAATGTGGAAGTAACTACATGAGATAGTGCCTAGCCAACGTGATGAAAAATAATGAGGGTATATCGAGTGAGTTCAAAAAGAGAAAGTAGGATAGTTGAGAGCCAGAAACAGGTGGCGGCGAATCCATGAAACTGGTTTATATGGCGTGGAATCCTTCAACGAAGCTGAAATAAGTACTTACCAAAACGTATGACCATTATTTCTAAGAAAGTTATAACAGTAGAAGGGTAAGACTGAAATGCATAGACATAAATAATGAATAAAAAGAGATTTGTATATTGTATTCAAATACAGTATAGGTCCATGTACCCAACCTCAGATATCTGAAACTGAATCAATGATGATAATGAGATGAGTGTCAGGGTAAAGTTTTTGCAAGTATGATTATATGAAAAACGAGGTCGAGTACCCTTTTGAGATGTAGAAGTAGCTGACGGCTCAGATGCTGTGGGAATTGTGAAAACACGTATTTCACGTCCAAATTCTTCAAACACGGCTGTACGCTTGGCCTGAAATATTTTAGATATTAAGGTTTTTTTACAAATTTATCTCACATAGAAGAAAATACAGAATCATAGAAAGAAGGTATTGTACATGAACTTTACAAACAATATTTCCCTTTTTTTTTTCCTCTTTATCAGCATTAGCATGTCACGTGGAGTATCTTGTTCAAGAAGGGTCCATTTTCAGGTGAATGTTCTTACTTAATTCATTTTTACTGGTTTTTGTTAATTTAAGACAACACTACCCTTTTTCCATTCTTATTTTGGCTTCCAAGAAGAATGAATTTTTCCCCTTGAGATATCAGGTATACAATATATTATAGAAGTTTCTAACCAGTTTTCTTAGCATTTAGACCTCCAAATACCCGTAATAATTGGGAATGTGTCTTGAAGATGATGATAATAATGAAGATGAATGCACATAAATAAAAAAATAGATCATGCACATATTATGCTGAAACACACAAAAATGCAAAACAGATCATCTATATATGATGATGGAAGACAGAATGCTTTCCAAGCCTGTCAACTTTTACTGATCCAAAAAATGATCTCCTGCTGGGTATTCATCCGTATTTTTCAGTAAAATTTCACTCTTCAATAAAATAATAAATTATTCAGACTAAGGAAGACATTAACTTGAGTGAAATATATATGGAAGCAAATGAAGCATACGACACACTAAGCTATTTCTGTAGAAGACATGAATTTCCCACATCCCCCTCTTACCAACCAAATACTAACATTGGGTACACGATAAATTTCCTTGAACTTTATAAAAGAGAGTTAATCTTTGAATTAAAACCTGATCTTCAGACGGGACATTACTAGTCTTCCTGGTCCTGTTGGTGTATCTAATATTTTGGCACATACGTACTAAATTTACTTGAAAAAAATTAAAGAAAAATTTCAGAAATAAGTGAACCAAGAATTCAGTTTCCTAAGCTATTATAATATATTTGGTTAGTGGTATTTTAATGATCTCCTGAAAGAAAGATCGTTCGACATCCCTCAGTTAGCATTCCCATCAATGTAGGGATAAGTACACTCAATGACGAACAAAAAGAGATAAGTAATAAGATGTAATGGAAACCATAATTCACGGAGTTATGAAGGCAGAAACGATGTTTGCTTCACATCCATAAAGATTTCTAAGGAAATAAATGAGAGCTATAGCAACAACTGTATCATACTAGGAGATAACAGCTACCTCTAATCTTTACAGAAAGTCAAAATTATAAAATCTGTGGTAATGGGAGAGCCCTCATTTCCTTTCCACAAGCATATCACTAAGTTTAAATTACTTGGTGCATTTATTATCAACACGCCGAGGTAGAACGAGAGATATTATCTTGTCCATCTTACTTCCATTTCAAAACTCATTATCAATTAAGATACGTGAGATGCAGATGAATTAAGCGCCCGTCTCAACGAGACGCGAGTCGAGGATCACAACTCAGAAAACCCAATCTTTAATTTATACTTCGTTTCTTCTGCAGATCCCTCCACCCATCAGTAGCGAAGCCCAAAGGTCATCCATATATTCTAGATATCAAGAAAAATAACCCAACGCATAAAAATTTACAACGCACCCCCTCTTTTGTTTTCTTCTTCCATACACCGACAATCTTCTGAGATCACAGACCAAACCTCGAACCAGGCCAGGATTCTACACTAAGGAACAAACCCAAGGATAAAACACACCATGCCACACCTCAATTTTTTCGATTACCATGCACAGCCAGCTCCCCCCTTCCCCCAGCAGGTACCAAAATCCCTCAATCTCTCGCGAAGCAGCATTGGAAGCAGGTCCCGACACCAACGGATCCACAGAAACGGGATCGAGAGCGGTAGCGCGGGGAACACATGGGAGCATCAGAGGGAGAGGAGTAGAAGCCCTACCGTGGTTTCCTTGGCATCCATGGCGTCGCACCTTCTCCGACTGATTAGCTCACACGCGTTCAATTCCTGAATCGAGGAGACGCCCTTCTGCAAGTTTCTAGAAGGGCCCTCCTGATGCATTTGATGAGCACCGTCAATTTGAGAAAACCCTCAAAGGTTTATTGCTACTTGTGAAAAGACCCTTTAGAATTCTTTTATTTGGCCAATACCCCAAATGACGCGTCGACATGAATCGGGTCTATGCTGACCGATATGAAGAGACCTATATGTAATTGAAGAGAAGTCTAAAGCTGAAGGTCTAGCCGCTTTGAAATTGGAGCATAAAGATGGTAATAAAAGACGACCTATAAAGACGACTCAATAAAACACAAAAGTTAATTTTTATTTGTGTTTCAAGGATTTATTTTGATTTTTTCCGTCTATTTTCTATCATTTAAAAAAATATATATTTTCTTCAAAGTTTATTAGATCTGTTTTGGATTTGTTCTGTCACAGTTTATTTTCAAAATTTTATTCTGTCACAATTTATTTCAACATCTGTTTTACCTTTTAGGTATGTTCCACTTTTGTTATAGACACATAAAGCAACCTCCATTGTAACTTGAGGATGAATCAAAGTACTATGAGTTTTTTTCTCTTGTGAGGTTGTTCTCTCTTTGCTTGTTGATTCAAAGTTTGAAGTTTTCAGTATTATAAATTTTCAGGTTGATTTCTTTTTTAAGATTTATGTTTTATAAATTTAAACATGGATCTTACTATCATTTATGTATCAACATTGTGTCAAGTGATATCATAATAAATTTTTCATTCAAATATGCCTTGAGGTACAAAAGCATAGATCAATGAAGATAACACTCCTAAGGTGTGTGTTTTACCATGGAGAGAGTTTAACAATTTTCAATAACATCTTAATTAAAGTTTAAAGATGTAAATGAGACACTAAAATAATTTTTAGTATGCATGACAATATTGAGAAATCATCCTCATACTTACAAGAATATTGAGTTTAGAGATGAACTAGAAAGTTATTTTCAATGATAATTCCTCTACATTTATTCTTAGAAATTCTAAAAGTTGATGTGAAGATGCCGATCATCAAGATTTTTGTACAAAAATTTATTTACCAAACTTTAATAATCATTTGGAAATTAAAGAAATTTTCAATTGATTGGCCGAAATTGAATAATTTTTTGAGTATATGAAGATTTCATATGAAATATAAGTCAAATAACTTGCTTATAAATTGGTGGAGCCTGTACATGTTGAGAGTAGATAAAGTCCACTCTTGCCAAGTTAGGAAATGATTTTAATCACATTTGAGGTAAAATAAAGATATTATTTAAATATCAATTTCTTCCACTAGATTGTAAACAAATTCAATATTAACAATATAATATTGTAAATAAGATATTAGATCAATAAATTGTAAATTCAATAATGCATAAGAGTTTTACAAATTATCCTCATGAGTTGATTTGACAAAAGTTTGAGTCATATGATTTTGAGATTTAAACGTGACCTAAGATGGGATATAGAAGAAAATACTATATATTTTTTGTTTTGAAAATTGAATGTAGTTATTACCTCTGAATAGGTAGACTGTTAGAGAAAAGTTAAACAAGATCGAAAAAGTTGAGTAAAAAAAATTGAATGTTTAAATAGATAAGTTCAAGTCAACTATTATTTTCTTAGTCCTTACTAGATAGGGGGTGACATTTGCACCAAAGCTAACCAAAGTAGACTCTTTAGGTAAACTTCTTTAATCAAAAATATTTATGTCCTTAATGTTACTCTAAAATATTTATCTCATTAATGTCCCTAATGTTTCAAGTCCAATGTGTGGCCAAAATGTGGCTTATTAAATTTTACGAACTCTGCATTGAAGATAAAAGAAAATCAAGAGCCAAAATACCGATGTGAGCTTCAAGAAAGTTTTATTGAATCTGATAGTTGTGACTTGCTATCTCATTTATTGATGCTAATACTAGTTTTTCAAAATGCCGTGCAGAATGAAAAGCAAGTTCTATGATGTTATTGTTGATGATGATACTAGTACAAATATTGTTTCGTTTAATATAGTTTGAAAATTAAGATTGAAGATATTTACGCTAAATTTGATTGAATTAAAAAAGATAAAATCGAAGACTTTGATTGAAGATAAAGAAAATAAAGAGTCAAAATACCAAGGTGAGCTTGACATTTTTTTTATCGAATTTGATAATAGAGACTCAATATCTCATTCATTGATGATAAGAAGAAGAAGGTACATAGCAACATTTTTTTTCAGAGTACGGTGCATGGTGAAAAATAAGATATATGATGTTATTATTGATAACGATATAGTGAAAATATTCTTTCATTTAATATGATTTGAAATTAAGATTCAAGACATTTATATCAAATTGACTGAATTAAAAGTTTATGAAATGAAATTTCTATTGAAAAAATATTTATTGAGGAAGCTTAGTAGAGTGTAGTTGAAATAGAGACATGTCATATTATTTTGAGAAGACCTTGACCATTTGATAATGTTGAATATACTACAAAAAATATAATATTTGTGTCTTCTACTAAGATGACAAGAAATTTGTCTTAGGGTCAATGAAGAAAAGTCATATTGTGAAAGATGAAAATAAAAATAAGTTAGCTTATGTAGATTAATTAAAACGAATTTCTTAGTAAGCTAGATGTCTAGTCTAAATGATTTCTTATTCAAAAGTTAGATTTAACATTCCAATGGACAAAAGATAATACAGAATCTAATTAAAAAGTATTACTTGATTTTTTTAATATATAAGATATGCATAATCATCTTTTTTTATATGAGATTTCAAGTATCATATTGATTTTTATTCTAAAAGCAAGTTTACCTAATTTGTCACATTATAAGATGAACCTAGAGAAAACGAAATTTTATAAACATACATTGAGCTACTATTGAAATGACTAATTAGAGAATGCATGAGTCCATGCTACATTTTTACTCTATTGCCCTTGAAAAAAGATGAAAACTAGAACATGTATGTCAATATTAGAACTATCAACAAGATCTTATTAAAATATTTCCTTCATATCCCATGACTAAATAATATATTTGATATGTCCTGTAATTCAAATTTCTTTTTCAAAGTTGATTTAAAAACTGTATCATCAAAATAGAATTCTATCTAGTGATGAATAGAATACCACTTTTAAAATAAAAGGTCTATATGAATTGCTGGTTATGCCTTTTGATTTATCAAATACCCTCAGTATTTTTATGAGAATGATGAACTAGGTTTTAAAACTATATATTGGAAAAATATTATTCTTTATTTGAATGATATTTTGATATAATAATATTTACAAATAAGAACATATCAATCACCTAAGATCAATATTTCAAGTTCTATATGATAATAAATTATGTATAAACTTGAAGAAATACAATCTAATGACCAAAAGTTTGACATTTATGGATTATGTGGTAAGTGTAGAGGATATTGAGGTTGATGAAGAGAAAATTTGAACAATTAAAGATTGATCATCGCTACATAATATTAGTAAAATATGCAACTTCTATAGATTAACATATTTTTACATAACTTTTATATGAAATTTATGTTTTATTGTAGGACCAATTACATAATATGGAAGAAATAAAATTTTCAATTGGATTGACAAGAAAGGTAAAAGTTTGAAGTGATTAAAGCAAACTTATGTTAGTCCTAATTTTAGTACTAACAATTTTTGATAAATTACTTGAAGTTGAATGTGATGTCTTTATAGTTGGGGTAGCAAATGTGTTATCCAAGAAGAGACACATTTTATTTTTTATAATGAAAGAACTTCTAATGCTAAAATAATGGATTAACCATGAATTCGAATTTTATGTTGTTGTTTGAGTGTTACACACCTCAAATTATTTAATTTATGGAGAATCTACCTGATTTACTGAATTTTAGTGCTAAAATTAATTAATTATCAAACTACTATTAATATAATGCATGTTAGATGGATCTCTTTTATTCAAAAAATTACTATTATTATCAAAGGTAAGTTTGGTAAGTTTCTATCCTAAAATTATTGGTTTCATATATCTCAAGGAATCATATCAAAATGACAACAATCTTGCCCTAATTTGAATGCTTGTAGGGTTAATGGATTAAGTAAGGATTTTACATACAAAATAATTTTTATTTCGTGGAAATTATTTATGCATGTTGAAAATATACTTTCAGAGGATTTGGATGGCATTTGGGTCATAATAAGACCTTACATTTGATTGAAGAATTATATTATTCACCTTAGTTCATAAAATATGGGGAAAATTTTGTGCAAAAATGTTAGGTTTGTTAAGTAAAAAAGGTGCAAAATTAGAACATGGATTTGCATATTCAAATACAGATGTTAGATTGACTATGGGTTGACATTTTAATAGACCTTGGTTTAGGCCTACCTTTAGCCCAAGAGGAATAGAATTAGTTTTCATGGTTGTGTATAGATTCATCAAAAAAATGTTTATTTATGTGATGTGTCTAAGTCTATTATTCATGATAGATATTTGAATTTTTTTTGTCACTTTTTAACAAACTCTTTGAAAAATGTTTGACACTTTCTTAAAATTCAATAGTATTAGTCATCCACAAACAAATTGTCAAATAGATTTGGTTAGGATGACACCTAGAAAATTTATTTCAGTGTATTTTGATAGAAAAACCAAGATAGTGAGAATTTAATTCAATATGTTTATAACTTAATGATTAATTAGTCAATTAATCAATCCCCATTTTATATTTTCCTCAGATTATGTTATATCTACTTAATATATTTAGACATGCAAGAATGAGTATTCATGCGAATGATATAACATACGACATCAAAATAATCCACAAAGCAGCCCTAAAAAATCTCTCGACAAACAACGATGATGTATAACAGCAATATATGAGAAAAAAAGGAAGAAAACATTTGATGTGTGTAACCTAATTATGGTCTTCTTGTAGATTGAGTGATTTCCAACAGATATTACAAGTTGAAGCTGAAAAAATATAAATTGTTTAGAGTTTTACACAAAATTAACAAGAAAATTAATCTTTCAAATGATATGACTATTTCAAATATTTTTAATATAAGTGATACATATGACTAATATGACACTTTAAATGAAGATTCGAAGATGAGTTCCTTTCAAGCAAGAGAGACTAAAGTAGTGTAAAATGCATAAGCTAAAGAAGAGTTCAGAATTAGAGGCTGAATTATTTTAGAATTGGACTAAAACCTATGTGGGCCCCAATAGAGCATTTGTTGAAAGTATGTTTAAAATTTACTTTCTATCATTTTAAAATCTATTTTGATTTTGTTCAAAGTTTGTTCTAAGATTTGTTCTTGATCCTTTGCCAATATCTGCTTAAGATATGTTTAACCTTTTGGAAGCATCCTGCCTCTGTTTTGGATATATAAAGGTTTCCTATTGTAATTTGATGAGTAGTTAAAATATTACTAGTTTTTTTTTCTTGTGAGCTTAACCTCTTTATGCTTACGGATTCAAGCACCTCTTGAAAATTAAATAGTTCCTTTTTTGATAATTTAGATTTAATATCACTCTTATAGATTTAATGGTTAAAGTTTCTAGTTATGTAATTTAAAATATATTTTTCTTCAAGTTTCGTGATTTGTGAATGTAAGCATAGATCTTATTATCATCTGCATCAACATTGCACCATTTATCACTATAAAGATGAAGTACGTCCCCCCCTCTCTCTCTCTCTCTCTCTCTCTCTGTTACTTTTAATAATGTTAATTTAGAACATAGAAAATAAAAGTTTATACCGGCTTAGTAGACTAAAGATGACATGTTAACGCAAGATATGAAAAGGTCAGCTCTTCTCCCTCCCTCAGCTTTGATTTACGTCGGATTATGTACCTCCCTGAGTTACGTTGACACTCAGCGCAGCTAATGTAACTCTGGGTTGACCCAACCATAGAATATGCCAGGTGTTAACAAGGATCTGCCAATCCCAGTCGCTTGTCCCAAGGGAGGAAGTGAGAGCATCAAGCAGAAGAGAAATGATGTCTCCCAAGAACGAAATGGAAAGAAAGGACCGACCAAGCAAGCTCCACCTTAAGACCTAGACTTCTTCCTCCCCTTCCCCGAGGTCCTCGCCGGCTCAGAGCTGGCCGCGGAGGCGCCGCCGCCCTTGCCAGCGCTCACTCCACCATGACCTGGTTTGGCGCCGGAGCCACCAGTGGGATTGACGCCGGCGGCCGCGGCGGCTTCGTTCTTCTCTCTCACGACGGCTCCCTGGGAGCCCCTCACCTGGTGGCGTTTGTCCTTCCTCTTGGGGCGATAGGTGGACCTCTCCCTCCTCGGGAGCCACCTCTCGGGGTCTGGCTGCGGGCCGGGGTTTGCCGGGTCGAAGCCCTTTGGGTACCTAGGCTTCCTCTTCCTCTTCTTCTTCCTGCTCCGATCCTTCACAGCTCCTCCTCCGGCGGCCTCCTCCACCGCCTTTGTCCCCCTCGGCACGGCGGTGCCGTCCACCAGCTTTGCCCCGGAGGTCTTCTCTAGGCTCTCCACGTCGATCCCCTTCAGCCCCGGCAGTGGCCTCAGACGCTTCTCATAGGCCTCCGCCTTCCCGGTGTCAGTGCGGGCCACCGTCTTCACCAGCCCCGCCAGCGCCTCGTCGCCGCCGCCCTGGCTCGTGAACAGCTCCTCGTAGAGCCTCGCCGCCTCCTCCTCCCGCCCGTGGCCGAGCTTGTAGGATGCGGCCTCGTGGGTGAGCACCGCCAGGGCAGTGGCAGCGCCACCGCCCTCCTCCGTCATGGCGTTCCGCCACCACTCAACGGCCGAATCCAGCGCCGCGGCAGCACCGACGAGGTCACCGGCGCGCTCCCGGAGGGCGACGATGGTGGCGACGGTGGCGGGCATGTGCTGTATGCCAGGGATCCTAGCCAGGGACTCCGCCGCGAGCTTGGCGTGGCCGGCGGCGGCGGCTATTTGGGCTCGAGCGAGGAGGGCGTGCTGGGCCTTTTCCGGGAGCCGGTCGGCGAACTGCCCGAGGACCTCCTCCGCCTTTAGGATGTTCTTCCCTCTGACGAAGACCGCGGCCTGCAGCAGCACCGGCGAGATGCACTCGGGGAAGGTCGACGATAGAAAAGATACCAGCTCCTGAGCCTGTAAGAAGAAACACACATGAATATGGGGTGAATTCCAGACTATAGATAGGTAAAGATTGCAAGTGATATATATCGTGGGGGGAAAAAAAGGGATGAAGAAAAGGAAGTGAATTCTGCAGCATTAAACGACTGGAACTCCAGAATCTAACTAGCTTGCAGAAGAAGAAGCAACCAAACCTGATCCAACTTGTTAGCCTGCAGAAGCAGAAGCACCCGATTCGAGTAAATAGCTTCCTTTTGCCGAGCAAAGAGCTTGAACTCAAGACCGTTAGCAAGCTGGAAATGGCGTTTGGTGTCATCTTTCTTCACCAATTGATCGAGCTTTCTCAGGCTGTCCGAGACCTCCTTGGTGCCCTTTAATGCGATAAGGTTGTTCGTAGCCACTGCAATCGATGAAGCATCGGCTACCTTGTTTACTATATCTGAGTAGACCTGAAGGGCTTCCTCAGGATGCCCCTGTAACTGAAAAAAAAGAAGAAAAGAAAGACAAAAGGTACTTCAGCATCAGAGATTATCATCATCTTTTTTCAGTTTTGGAGAGCAACTAGAGAGAACATTCACCTGCTGAACATAAGCAAGCTGGACGGCTATAGGAGCAAGTTCGTTCTCTATCTCATCATCCATGAAATCGTCCTCCATTAGCGTCTCTTGACCAATTCTAACAAGAGCAGCCCACTTTAGAAATATACACATAAATTTAGATTATTTCTCTCGGAATTTTCTCTATGACACAGAAATAAATCAATGCACATATAGCTTATCAAGAATAAAAAATTATTCAAGTGTCAGAACTGTTCTAGGCTAAATGAAGGGCTCAAAACTGTCTCCATGTCGCCAATTAATCCAGAGGAGCAGTTAGTTACCTTCGGGCCGAAAGCAACATCTGTTCAGCATCTGAATATTGCTTCTTTTCAATCAAGGAGCATGCAAAGTTATATGCAATCTCGAAGCTGCCGGATGGTTTAACCTTGAGCGCGTCCATCATTTTTTGTACTTCAGAGGCCCTTCCAGCCGAAATTAAAGCGGCTATTATGTTTGTCTTTAGATCCAAAGAGTCGATCTTGAACTTACGAAGCTTCTCATAGCTCTCCACACAAACGTCCATTCTCCCCAACCGGTAGAGGATCTGTGATTCTAATTGGAGATGCATAGAATTCTTCTCCTGAGCTTCTAAACACTCCAGAGCTTCATGTAGCTTGTTCTGCCTGTACAGGCAGTAAGCCTAGAACCAGCAACAGAGAATGAGAGGGAAGATCCTTGTTCACAGTATAGATTTAGGACAGTGCTCAGAGGCCAAAAAGGCAAATCACAGAAACTAGTTCAGCAAAATCAAGCTTAAAATGCCTTGAAAATAGGAGAGCACTTCATCGCTTAAAGAAAAAGGCGAGGGAGGCAGACTCGAATTAGCATATAGTAGTCGTGAAATGCTTTTGATGATGGATGTAAATCCATGGTTGCCCTCATTTAGTAAGCTCATGGGTCCCTGCCATTTTGTGCCATGCTCGGTTTTTGAGATTTTGAACTGCTCTATTAATTTTCAATCTTCCAGACACGGCCATGAAACCAAAAGTGAATAAAATAGGAGCTGTTCTGTTTAACGGAAATTTAAAACAACACGCTATCTCATATCAGGTAAAATTCAAAAACAGGCATCAGGCCACAAAGGTTTCCTTAAAGAATGATCCATGCTAACAGAAGGCAGGCAGAGATGAACTGCTTCTACAGCTTACGAAATTTTCAAAAAAATGTGAAGATCAAGTTAGATGAACACAACTCAGGATAAAGTTTGAGTGCGGAGCTTTTCATAATCTGAACTAATGATTCTTATATTGAGTTTTGAAAAAGAGCTTCGACCAAATATTGTGGATCTTCAACTGCCTCTCTTCTAGCTTATACTTATCTGAATCGAATCAGATAAAAAATTATAAATTGAGTTTGTATTTTCAAGCACCAAGGTGTAATCCTCAGAAACCAACCTTGATGAGCGAGTGCAGCTTAAACAGACATGCCAAGGATTTAGAAGGATGCCTAATTCCTGTTGAAGAAGACTCTGGGCTCAAAACTTAATCCTAAGAAGGTAGTGTAGTCAACATAGCAAAACAACAAACCGCATTATAAGTTGTGGTCAACAAACCGCTCAAAATGAAAATCAAGAATACCGACATTCAACCCCTGATCAGGATGAAGTATCATCTCATCGTTACTGACATGTGAAGGATATTAACAGATAATCTATTCAGTAATCTCAAATTTTAACTACATCACGGTTAAAAATGTGGGAGATAGGATGAATAAGTTTCTTGCATGTCTAGTAGATGAAATGGCATATTTCACTAACAAAAAGTGAAACCCACTGTGCGTGTCCTTTTTTAGAAAGAACTATATGTATACAATAGTAGTCATAGCCCTCACGATTTTTCTTATATTTCAGTGATTGGAAAATCATACATCACGTGATTGTCTCCCAGTTTCTCTCGAAGAAAGGGAAAGAACATCCCTCACAATATATCGGCAAGTATATTTTGTATCAACAGAAAAATAGCCATCTCCATTCCTAGAAGGCAATATCTTTCTCAGGCGGTGAAGGCAGAAGACTTACACAAAAGGAGAACAAGGCAAGCGCAACTACCTTAGCGTTTCAGACGTAATATAGTTTGTCTTGAGGAAGCCATTGTGTATGATTTGCTATATGAATATTTATATATACATGCATTAGAGACTAATTTATATAAACAAACTGATCCAACCAGGGCTAGGTTTCTATAACGAAGTAAAATAATTCGAAAAATATGACCTGAAAGAAGAAAATTATAAAATGCCAATATTTGTGAAGCTAAAGGTCTTACCTTTAATGGGAGGCTAATCTGATTAAAAAAATGTTTTAGATTCAACTTCAAATAAGAAATTACGCACCGTGTGTATGAATAGAGTAGCGAATCAGTCTACAAAAAGCATAGAGTGGACAAAAAGTTTTGAACTCAGAAAAGGCCATTTCACGTTTTAATTCTCAACAAAAGAAATGAGACAGAGCATTGCATTTATCTGTATACATCTCCTCTAGAAAGAAGAACTATTTGCAAATTCTTCATGCGTGACCAAAAGAAATAGAAAGAGGCATGCGCCAATGAATCTTATAAAAGATTCCTATTAAAATAAGGTCGACCTCCAAACGTTTGCCAGACAATTAAATCGAACCTTCTCACCAAGAACAAAAAGCAAAAATAACGCATCGGACAGATCTCCACTTGCATACCTTGTAGAAGCCAAGGTCCTGGAGTCCCTTAGTTGTATCCGCCGGAATAGACAATAGCGCACGGTCGATGGCATCGGCCTTGATCAGAGCCACCACCTTGCACCGGAGCGCATCCTCGTCGCCTGGTACCGCCTCCAGCACTAGAGAAGGAAATGGAAAATTGAGGGAAGAATTAAGGTGATACGAAGAGAAGTGATGGAATCCGAGGCGAGGAGGGAGAAGAAGAGCAGCTGCCGCCGGGCCTGCATCCGGCGATACCTTGATCCGCGACCTTGGCCGCCTGCTTGTACTCAAACGCCTGGATGTGGCGGTGAAGGGCAGAGAAGAGGTCCTCCACTTGGACGGCCGGCGCTGCGGCTGCGGCCGCCGGCGCCGCTGGCTTCGCCTTCCCCTTAGGCGGCATGGTTGGGAGCGAGAGAGAGAGAGAGTCTGCAGTAAAAGGATCCGGAGTGGATGGGAAAACATGGATATCTAAATCGTCATCTACCGTCGGATCTGAAGATGAAGGCATGATAGCAAATAAACAATATAAGAGGTTCGAACGAACACCACTGCCGGGGGGACATTACTACGATAAAAATACTTCGAGTTACCGTCTCCCCGGGACAAAAAACTAAGCACATCTTTCTCTCTCTTACAAATCCAACGGTGGGCATTGCATTCGGATCCATCGTTTAATGAGACCAGAGTCTCTCTCTCTCTCTCTCTAATAATCAAATGCCGGCTTGAGCTTAATGTGAGGTTCATATTCCAAAATGTGTTTTATTGAGGCAATTAATAGGGTTTTGGCCCTCACAGGACGGAATGTTTACTTAGTATTTACCTGGTTATTTCTATCAGCTTTTTATTTTTTTAAAATCCGAGCAGAATATTTTAGGTTATCTAAATTATTTGTTTTTTTAGTCAGATTATTGCGCGTTGGAGAGAGAGAGAGAAAGAGGGAGTCCCTCTGTCGCACGGCGTGGATCTGTGTGGGCTCGGGGACGACCCGCTTTGATAACCGGACGACGACGAGGGGGAGTTGGTCTTCTAGTTCGTGGAGGGGAGAGCCGCCAAACCCTCTCTGTCCTCGGGTTTTAATTCTCAGAGCCGGCCAGGCCGTGGAAATCGTCCTCTTCCATCCCGGGCAACTGCTCCTACGTCGACCTGCAAGTGATCCCCCCCCCCCCCCTTTTCTCTCTCTCTCTCTCGCCCTTTTCTTCCTCCGTAGCACATCGTATCAGAAGCAGCGAGGCGGCGGCAACCTGAGAAGGGCGTGGAGTCCTTCTCGGGTGGATCGAAGGGTTGATTGTTAGTTATCGTCTTCCGCTATGAGGGGGTGAGGGGCTCTCCAAAACGACGAGAATGGAGCGAATGGAAAGAGCATCCCTTCTGCTCTTCTGACCTTTTCCTCTCGTGGGTGGGCCTCTTTAGCCCCCCTCCCCTTCTTTTTCCCCCCCCTTAGTTCTGTGTCTGAGATATTGATGCCCCGTTCTATTTTCGGATCATCGGCAGATTGGCCTTGCGCGGCGCCTGATTTCCTTCTTGGAGGTTGGGTTCTCGGCGGCGGAAGCTGAACAAAGAAGGCGGACGAGGAGCTCCACCCGATTCGGTCGGTGATGTATCTCTTCCCTTCCTCGATTCCCGTTTTCCGCGAAAAATGGGGTTTATCTCTGCGGCGAGTTCGGCTCCTCTTGATCCTCTGAGAAAATGGTGTCCTGTCCTTCACAGGTTTCGGGGCCTTCACTCCCTCTGTTCATCTTTTCTTTCTCCGCGTGAGAGGGGGTGGTTCTCGCCTCTCTGGAGGAGGAGGAGAAGGAGGAGGAGGAGAAGAAGAAGAAGAAGAAGGCTTAATACAGTGATTTCTATCCCTGATGGACTGAAGGATGCTATACAGCACGTAGAGTCTTCGTCTCTCTATTGAAAGCTCGCTCAGAAATGGCTGCTGCTCTCACTGTAATGGAAGCTTGATTCGATTGGCAGCAGAGAGCTTTCGATTAGCAGACTTCGGGCTCTTTCTAAGAAATCCTCTTGCGGAAATGATTAAACAGATTCTCGGGCGGCTTCCCAGGAGGCCTTCCAAGTCCGGGGAGCATCGAGACGCCGGCAGCGGACATGAAGCTTCACTGACCAATGTTCCCACTAGTTCCAGGAGCGGCGATCTTCTGCGGAACCGGTCAACGAGCCAGAGCAATCCAGCCGCCCCTGGCTCCAGCTCGGACTTGGAGCATGGGAATAAGCACAATCTGGGCAATGATCCCAAGTCGAACGGGAACTCAATCGCCTCAGCTTACGAGGCGCTGCCCGGATTCAGAGACGTCCCGAACTCCGAGAAGCAGAATCTGTTCATTAAGAAGCTGAATCTGTGCTGCGTGCTGTTTGATTTCACTGACCCGTCGAAGAACCTCAAGGAGAAGGAGACTAAGCGGCAGACCCTCCTGGAGCTGGTGGATTATGTTACCTCCGCCAATGGGAAATTCACTGAGACTGTCGTGCAGGAGATCACTAGAATGGTCTCTTTGAATCTGTTCAGGGCCCTCACTTCCCCCCCTCATGAGAAGACGATGCTGGACGCCTTTGACGTTGAAGAGGAAGAATCTGTGATGGATCCGGCGTGGCCGCACCTGCAGGTAGTATATGAGTTCTTCCTAAGGTTTGTGGCATCTCCCGAGATCGACTCGAAGCTGGCCAAGCGGCACATCGATCATTCCTTCGTTCTTCAGCTGCTCGATCTCTTTGACTCGGAGGATCCCAGGGAGAGAGAGTACCTGAAGACGATTCTTCACCGCATCTATGGAAAGTTCATGGTGCACCGCCCATTCATTAGGAAAGCCATTAACAGCATCTTCTATCGATTTATCTTTGAGACCGAGAAGCACAATGGAATCGCAGAGCTCCTGGAGATTCTGGGAAGCATAATCAATGGCTTCGCCCTGCCGCTCAAGGAAGAGCACAAGCTCTTTCTCGTGAGGGTGCTGATTCCCCTCCACAAGCCCAAGTGCATCCCAATGTACTACCAGCAGCTGTCTTACTGCATAACCCAGTTTGTGGAGAAGGATTGCAAACTTGCTGATATTGTTATCAGGGGCCTGTTGAAGTACTGGCCTCTGACGAACAGCTCCAAGGAGGTGATGTTCTTGGGGGAGCTCGAGGAAGTCCTGGAGGTGACTCAGCCTGCCGAATTCCAGCGTTGCATGGTGCCGCTCTTCTCTCGGATCACCCGCTGCTTGAACAGTTCGCACTTCCAGGTGAGACAAAAAACGAATTCTTACTCTGTTGCCATTACAGCCACTCGAGGTTTGGGACCAAAGTCTTTTTCTTTTTCAGTGTTCATCTGTTAACTCTTTAGAAATAGTCTGCCAGATCCGATGCCATGGAGCTTCTTGATTACATGCTTCTACAAAAGTTTTTTGCCTGTTTTCTATTTAGGATGCTGTTCCCTGTTCTTGATGAACTACGGTCAATGATTGATGCTTTTTAAGTGCATTTGTCGACCATTGCCTGTAGCGTTAGGCTAGGATTGGTGGTGGCCTCACAGTTTTGTGGAACATCACCTTCACATGGAAGTAACAGAACCTTGGATGATGGCTCTGGAATTGGTTGCTGATGCCATGCTACTATCTGATGTGGTATCTCTGTGGATGACGACATCCATGGAGGTGCAGCTCTTGGGCTGCCTTTGGGACACCTCCTATCATGATCAAAGGGAGGAAGGAGGTAATTGACAATTTGGGATACCTCCTCTCCTCTGTGTTGATGATGTTTTTGATATTGGTTGATGTATCAGCAATCAAAGTTATTGTCTGAAAAATGCCAATCAGGGTTCTTCGTTTTGGTGACAATGACTTCACCAAAGTGTCGGAGTTGTCGTCCCTCTCTTGGTGGATTCAGCTGGTAAAATATCGGTCGATGCAGTCAAGGTTGACCCATTTTATGTCCCTTTCTCTTCAGGCAACCTAACATGCTGATTTTCATAGATTGCTGCCCATGGTATCGTCCCCTACACCCAGTGTTCACTTGAAGGGACTGTTCATTCCTGCCCTAAAATAGACTGCTCAGCCTGTAGATGTGCCCAAGGACATCGAGGCACATGCTGCTAACCAGATGGTCGATGCAGTTCAAGATTTCTCTTCTTTGACTTTTACCCATCTGGCTTCCTATTCCAAAGGTCATAGCCTGGAACAGAAAAGGTGGAAATTGGATCGGCCGCAGCTGATCCAGTTTCAACAGAAGAAATCTCATCCCAGTTCCAATTAAGGAAAATACGAAAAATATGCTCCAAGTTGGGGGATCCCTCTTTGTTCTCCCAATTCCCATGCTTCATCTGCTGCTCGAAAAAGGGTAGGCAAGGGCAACAGGTCGGAGGAAGAAGAACAGGCTGGTTTTGTCTGCCAGGCAGTCGTTGCTTTCCATTTTCTCCATGAGTTAGTTCCAGTTTTAATTTCCCAGCTACTTGTTTCATGGCTTTTATTTGAGCCGCGGATCCTACCCTAGAAACGGAAATACCCACATTAATAGCAGGTCGTATTCCAGCATTGAACAGATTAGCCGATAAGAATATTTGTCCATCAGGGGGCTCTTCCTCCCCAGCATTGATTATTTAGAATGAATAATTGATCGGGGTCAGTTGACTTTGCCCTCAATCCTGGAATTTTATAAAAGAGAAAAAGATGATGATCATGTCGTTGACCTGTTATTATATTAATTTCTGCCGTCGTCTTTGGTCGCCGCAGGTTGCAGAGAGGGCCCTTTTCTTGTGGAACAACGATCACATTGAGAACCTGATCCGGCAGAATCGTGTCGTTGACCTGTTATTATATTAATTTCTGGTCGTCTTTGGTCGCCGCATTGCAGAGAGGGCCCTTTTCTTGTGGAACCGATCACATTGAGAACCTGATCCGGCAGAATCGGAAGGTGATTCCCGATGGCCCTGGAGAGGAACACGACGAGCCACTGGAACCAGGCAGTGCAGAGCCTGACGATGAACGTCCGCAAGATCTTCACCGACCACGACCCCGAGCTGTTCGAGGAGTGCCTCCAGAGGTTCCAGCAGGACGAGGCCAGGGGCCATGAGGCCCGAGCGAGGCGGGACGCCACTTGGCGGCGCCTGGAGGAGATCGCCGCCTCAAAGGCCGCCAGCAACCAGGCCGTCCTCGTCCTCCGGAGCCCGCTGGGGCCCTCCCCGTCCTTCAGCTAGAGAGAGGCCAGTTGCCGGTGTTTTTTTTTTTTTTTTTTTAATGTGGGTCGAGGGCTCGTCCTTTCACTCCTGATTTCTTCTGGGTGCGCACGAAATCGAGCTGTCGTTCTGTACATAAAAAGGAAGGGCATGTGAAGCCTTGGGGAGAGGGGGGGGGTTGACTGGTGCCTCCTGTGTTTATTTATACTACATATTTAGATCTTCTCTGGGTGGATGTCCGGATCTTCTGCCTCCCCATTTGCAGGAAGTCTGTGCCTTTTTCCTGAACATCGTTGACCGCATTGTCCTCGAGTGGAAGTTCTTCCTGCTTTCGATGGCCCTTTCTGATTTTCTCTCACCGTGGCATTGCGGATATGGAGAATCCAACGGTCCAAGACCCATCTGGATTTCTTGATCAGCCGGCTCCGGTCCCCTCTCGCCTCTCCTCGCAGCGCCTTCCTCTTCGACGTCCATAATAGAGTGACAATGGATAGATGGATAGACAGGTAGAGATATAGATAGAGAGAGCGAAGGGGGCGCGGACGGGGAGGAGGAAAAGAGGAGAATGGACGCCATTGCTGTGCTCGGGAGCTTCCACTCTCTGCTCCGTCTCGTCCCGGGGACAAAGGAGCGCGGTGCCACCCTCCCAGCGCTTGTCGGCGTTGCAGCATTCTTCCCTGTCCCTCGCCGTGGGCCACCGGCTCCATGGCCGGGCAACGCGGGGGTCGCCCCGATGGGAGCCGCGCATCTTTCTTCCCCATCTCGTCGCTTCCCTGGTGGGTGGTCTCCCCCCTCCCCTCTCGCTCTCCCCTCCCCCGGAGCATCAGCCAGTTCTAGATTTGATGTGTGTTTATTTTGTCTGGCCTACTGCTCCTCAGGTGCAGGTGGAGGAGACCTACATTATGGTGAAGCCGGACGGCGTCCAACGGGGTCTGGTAGGCCTCCCTGAGAACTCTCGTTTTCCACACGTTTTTGGTGCTTATTCTGCTACCAGCGGCCGCGGGGAAACGATGGACGAGCCTCGGCTTCGGCTCTCGTCTTGTTCCTTCAGGTTTTCTAACGGGATCGGATATGGTGCTAGGTGGGGGAGATAATTTCCCGTTTCGAGAAGAAGGGGTTCCGACTGAAAGGGCTGAAGCTTTTCCAGTGTCCCAAGGAGCTTGCCGAGGTCTGCGTCTTCATCGCTGATGGCCCCTTTTCCAGTTTTATAATGTCGGAATGGAAAATTTTAGGGTTCTTAAGAAGGAGGGGGAGGAGAAAACCCAGTATGATTTCTCTAAACTAGGAGTGTGGTCATGCCTCAACCCTAAACTCCTTCGTCAATCCTAAGAAAAAAAAGTTGGGAGAAGCAACGAAAGTGCCAATACTTTGGATGGCGTGCTCCATCCCGGTATCTTGCTCCGCATTGAGGTGAGAGGCTAGAGGAGAGCAGAGCCACCGGAGTCAGCATGGATCAGGTCAAATGGGTATCAGGCAGCATAATTAAATGAATGCTCATGATACGATCTTCTAACATTAATTGAATCCCACATAATCAAACTAGACTGCCGGCAATCTAATGAACTCGTTCGTCTCTGCCTCGATGTAATTCCCATTATTTCTCTGAATGTGGTGCACTTTATTCTTATGCCATGCGATGGAATATGATAGGCCAGAAGTCTTTTCTGTCTCTACTAATGTCGAGTCAGATCTCTGACTGACTGGGTTCTCCGACTATTTTAGGAGCATTACAAGGATCTCAAGGAGAAATCTTTTTTTCCCAAACTGATAGACTACATCACTTCTGGGCCCGTCGTGTGCATGGTAATATCCTATGTGTTTTCCTTTTTCTCTGTTGATTTTCAGAATGGATGGAGGCTAGGGTTTCTATTAATTTGTGATCTTCATCGTCATCATCATCATCATCATCTTCTTCTTCCTCTTTTCTTCTCATGTGTGACTCATGGAAGGCATGGGAGGGTGTTGGTGTGGTGGCATCAGCTCGGAAGCTCATAGGAGCCACAAACCCTCTTCAAGCTGAACCGGGCACCATACGAGGAGACCTGGCGGTTGAAACTGGAAGGTAGGCACTTTAGCTAATTCTTCAGAAATATTACATTTTTTGGGTACCCAACTTACCATGAATCTGATTGGTGCAGAAATATCGTTCATGGCAGTGACAGCCCTGACAATGGGCAGCGTGAAATTGGTGAGTTCCTGAACTATTAAGTGTCTTTTGATGATCTTTTTTTCTTAGATCAAGTAAAATGGGTTGCATAACAATTTTTTTGCTGAAAACTTGAGGGTATAATTGGAAGAAAATAAAGCTGACCAGTTCTTATTGACCTATCCTAGTGATAAAAAATATTTTTCTTTAGATTTGTAATCTGATTTATGAGTGATATAATATTCAGCTCCTTTCAATGATATGCCTATTCTTAAAGCGACATTTCATTATAATAATAGATAAAGGAAAAACAAAATTCATCGATAAAAGTGCTCGTATTTTATTTTGGATTAAAAATAAATCTTGACACATGGTGTCCTTCTTCAGATTGTTCCCATGCTATAAATATCTTTTATTTCATTTCTTCTTCTTTTCTCCCGTATGAAACGCTCTGCCACTAACAAAGCCTTCTCTACAGTTCTCTGGTTCAACGAGGGTGAGCTGTGCCAGTGGACCCCAGCTCTCGCGCCATGGCTCAGGGAGTGAGCGATCATCGGCTTGAGGAGAGAAGCGTTTTTTTTTTCTTTCTTTTATTTTTTGGCGATATGTTCCTGCCAAGTTTCATGGTCTCAGATGCATCATCTCACGCTGCTGGGTGGATGCCTCTCATTTTGTCGCAAAGTTCTACTTCTAGAATGGCGGAGAGTCAACCCTTGTGCAAAAGATTTCTGTGAAATAATGGAGTGAGATGATTTTTTCTTAAAAATCTTGCGATGATGGTGTAGATGATTTTATTGTGTATGGTTTTGATGAATCCTGTTAGTTCGATCGTCGGGTTTTGTCTGGTGAAATCTCCAATTTTTCTTTGGTGAAGTAATGAACGAGTTCTGCAGCTTAGATACTGGGGTTTGATGGATTCTTAAAGTGATCTGTCCATGGTTGATGCATGGCGGCGGTGGCGGCGGCGGTCTCATAGGAGGTGTTCCTATTTTATGGAGGAACCCGTCGGATGCAGCAAAATCGGCCGTGGTGGCTGCCGCCGCTTGGGAGCTCCAGCGGGGCCGATCGGAGAGGCACGATGACTTACACATTCCAGGCAGACTGAAGATCCGTCGCGCCGGGGGAGGAGGGGATGGGGGCGCGCGCTTGTCAAAGTCAAGGAAGGGGGGAATCGCAACCGGGAAGGCGAAGTTGGCCGCAGGGTCGGAGGAGCGGTATCTCTCTCTCTCTCTCCCTCTCCCATGTATCTCTTTCTCTAAGGTCTCTTTGTCTGTCTTCTCTCTCCCTCTCTCTCCCCTTTATCTCCTTCTCTAAGATCTCTCTCAGTGTAAGTTTCTATCTCTACCTTCCACACGAAGAAGCTTTCCGATGAGCACGAGGAAACGGCAAGCTTGTGATAGAACGGAGATGAGGGAAGAAGAACGATCGCAAGCGTCAGATCATACACCAGATACACCATACAGACTCTCTCTCTGCACCCTAGTGAGAGAAAGACGAGAGCACCCCGCCCGCATCCTTATTCCAGAAACCAGAAACAGATGAACAACGAGCCCCCGTCCTCGGAAAGAAACGAGAACATATACACAAGAATCCCAATCTCTCTCTCTCACACACACACACATAATCTGTGCATGTCTTCCTGTCAGTATGTCTCCCAGTCTCTCGCTCCACCCCCTAGTGGGGGAAGACGAGGGCCACTAGCGCCGACGTGGCGACGAAGGCCGCCGCCATGGGGAGGCCTGGCGCGGCCAAGCTCTTGTCGGACCCGGGAGTAGGCGGCTTGGCGGGACTGTGGGCGCCGTGGTCAACGCCGTTGTGGGCCATCACGGCGGCGCTCATCTGCGCCACCAGGCACACCACCAGCAGCACGGCGGCGCCCAGGTAAACTCTCGCCGGTCCGGCCATGATTCCCTTCCCGACAGAAGACGCCGAGGACGACGACGACGACAGATAAAATTCAGCGGGAGGGAGCGGAAGCCTGGTTGTTTCCGCCCTTCCGGGGGCCCTTCCGTGTTTATATATAGTCATCGCATGATTGGGTCCGACAAAGTATTTCAGGCTACAAAAAGGGAAGTCGTCGCCTCCGTTCTCATCTGCCCAGAAAATTCAGGATTAAACTATTCGTTAAATAAATCGGTAAAATCACAGGGCCCGACGGATCCTGATCGGGCTTCGAAGCCCGTTGAAAAAGCCCGAAGCTGCAGTTTGGGTGTGGGGGAGGAGAGGGTGGGAGAGAGCGTTGACTTGGGCTCGTGGAAAGGTTCGGGCTTTCCCCGCCCATCTGGATCTTATCAAATTCTGTGATTATTATTGTCCCTGTTAACGTCGGGGAGATAATGAGTTCTTTTCTCGGAGGGTGCCGCCGTTGACCTGGGGGGCGTGCGGAGAAACGCGTCCGGGCTGGCTGAAGGAGCTATTTTGTAGTACAATCGTACTGACGCCACAGGAGTTGCAAAAGTCAATGCGTAGTACAAGCACGCGGGGGGGGCGGGGGGGGTGACCGCGCCCAGGTTGGCGTTGACGTTGACGATGCTCATGGGAGGAGCACGGGTCGAGATTGTTTCTGAACCACCACCCCGTCAAGCTGGCAGGAGAGAGATGGTGTACAGAGAGAAAGAGAGAGCGAGAGAGAAAGATGATCATCGGAGAAGATGACGAGAGAGAGAGAGAGAGAGAGAGAGAGAGAGAGAGAGAGAGAAGTAATGAATTGAGGGCGGAGCTGGGGCTGAAATCAATCAGACAGGTTTTAACAACCCCATGTGAGGAAGATACAGGCACGAGACAGGCAGGAGGAGCTGGGGAGTAGGAAGAGACACCCCCTCCCCACCCGCAATTCCTCCCCTCTCAACGGCAGCACGCCCGCAGCTGGGACCTACATCCCCCCGCCGGCGGACTCACCCTCTCCGGAGCATCCTCCTCCAGAATCCGCGTCGCCGCTCCAGTGCTGAAACACCGCCACCGCTCTTAGTGATCAGGCGTGGGTCAGGGGGTAAAGATGGAGGTAGAAGAAGAAGAAGAAGAAGAAAGACCTTTCAGCCGTCCGGATCTGCGCAAAGCCTCCTCCGCGATGGGCCTCCACTGCTCTGCGCAGGAGTAGTTGATGCCCAGGCCGGAGCTGAGCCCTCGAAGCAGCTGGATCGCGCGGAGGACGAAGAACAGCTCCTCGGGGAAACTCTGCATCCACTCAGAATTCAAATCTGAATTCCAGACACTCGATTCAAATACTTCACGGAATATAAGATTTTCCCAAGCTGTGAGCATCCAGAGGAACCCATGAACCCACTGCACAATCTTGGTTAATTTTTATTTTTTTTCCTGCCATCTGATAGATGTTTTCGATACAATCAAGGCAATGCAAGAGGACTGATTGACAAAAGAAAGCTGGGCACGGAATTTTTAGAAAACTAAAATTAAAACCATCGGATAATCTTCAAACATGTGAAGGGTTTTTTGATTCAGCAGCTCCACCAATGAAGAATCTTACAAAAATGGTTCGGTAATGTGGAAGATTTTGGAGGAGCTTTAAGATGTGAAACCACTTTGGAATCAATTACCAACCAATTTGAAAAGCTTGGACATACTTTTTTAAGTATAGTGCACAATAAATGGGAAATTGGAAGTATATTCAGCTGGATTTGAGTCATGATGTTAGGATAGCGATCATCATTATTTTTAAATTTTTTAATAATAACGATAGAGAGCAGTTCCATACTAGTAAGTTTACAAACGAAGCTAGGATTATAAAGCATGATGCTTTAAAAATTAAAAAAAACAATTTTGGTGAAGATGGTAGCCAGAAATTTTCGTTCGAAATCAGATGTGTTTTCTATACCATGGTCCACGTGAACAATGAGAATACCTTACATAGTCTATATATGGATGGTATAATGATTTTTCTGAATACCATTAATGGTATGATACCAATTTTGGAGGCTCAAACATTTTATGCAAATATGGTACATTAATATGCATTTACGATACCAGCCATTATTTTTTTAAAAAAAGGCCGTAGTTTTTCTGAATTATGAAGCAGAGAGAATAAATTTGCTAGTAAATACCTCAACTCCGACAGTCTTCAGAGAAGAATCATCTTCAAAGGGTGACATGACCTGCACTCCTGGGGGAAGCCTGGTGTCGAACATTCCCCTGGCCAGATTCACCAGCTCTCCCTGATCTGCACCACATGTCCCCGTTTCTATCCCCATCTCCCTGAAATTAAGTACCATTTAAAAAAAAACCATATAATTCAGAATATTTTTTTGGAAGTAACAAAATGGATTGGGAAATTATCCTCGTCCCATTCACATTCCCTGATGATCACTCAAACAGATGGTACATTATTAGAAAGGAGGGATGAACAAAGAAACAAAAATAAATAAATAAATAATATAGAATAAATTATAATAAATAAACAAAATACTACTTGAAGCTTTCTGAAATCCTGGCAGGATCGGTGTCAGCCATAGCAAGAACTAAATTTGCATATCCGAGCCTGAGGTTTTCTGGAAGATCCTTCACTTGACCATAATCTAACAGTGCGATCTGGAGAAAAACGGAAACTTAAATACCCAAAATTTAGGATGAATTAAGTAAATAAATAAATAAAAACCAAGCGTAACTTTTAAAAATATGATTTCTTTTCCCACAATAGCAAATATATGGAAAAGAGGATTCGGAAAACTTAATAGCTAGCAAGCAAGGAAAACATCGCTGATTATCGTAAGATGAGCTTCAGATGATGACTGCATGGATCGTCATATGAGCTTAGAGTTTACTTGCCTCTGAGCCCTTGCATATTAGGATATTCCCGGGATGAGGATCGGCGTGGAAGAAGCCACTCCCAAGGATCATTTGCCCATAAGCCTGGGTCAGACTTTTCAAGATGCTCCTGATCAACACAAATCCATAAGTGGGAGTCAAGATCTTGCCCCGCCCTACAGAGGGAAATCTCGGAATTTTTTGGAAATAATTCGTCACGAAACCCAATAAAAGGAACTATGTGGAAGTTATTTCCATATATAAAGAGGATTGAGTGATTGAATCAGACATAAAATGTCCATTTAGTCAAAGAATTACCATCGCCGATGAAATCCAATAAAACAGCTATACATTTGACAACAGGTTTCTCTTCTCTTGGAATTATGAACGACTGGTATTAATTTTATAATCAGTCAATGATAATAATTAGTATTATTATAATCGAGCACATTTAATAAGAAACATTAAGAGCTGCTAACGGTACCCAAATGTTCATAAAATGAACAGTAAGAAAAATGAAACACCGTATTTATTTATAGGAACAAAATTACTTCTATGGCAGTTGGATCAAGTTGCAACTAATTGACATTTTTGGTTTGACATAAAGGAAAAAAAAGAAAAAAAAACTAAAGCCATCAACTAAAAATATTGATCACTCAGATTTGCATAATTATTTGCACACATAAATAAATGTGTATAAGGTTAATAAGTAGAAACACAAAAATATGACTCAATGAAGCATTTCCAAAAACTTACTGCTTTGCTGCCACTGCAATCTTACCACTCGGATTTATGCCTCTCCGAGCCATCTCTGCGCCAAGATTCATAATTGGAATTCCGTCAAAAAAATCCATCACCAAGACCCGCCTACAGCAAAATTACAAATTTGGAAAATAGAAATGTAATTATATTGGGTTCGATAGAAATCGCACGCAGATATATGAATGATTCCATCAGATATTCCACACTCTAGGTGTAGGACTGACTCAAATTAGAAATAAGGCATGAATGATTTGACAGGTTGCATCAGTGCGAAATAAACCCAGATCGTGAATTAGCTGGTGCCAATCTGATCTCATTCCTCTCATAAATTGGCTCAGGTTGACCAAATCAACTAGCACTTAGAAAATTAGAAGAAGAACTCTGAAAACAAGAATGAACCCATATCACTTCCAAATCTTAAAGCTACATGACTCTCAGTCAAAAAGGAAAGAGAAAGTAACTAACGTGAAAAAAATGAATAAATAGCTTGGTAATTTCAGGCAATGATATAAAGGTCAACATGAAGAAATGGAGATCATATCTTAAGCAGAAAGCCACTCGGGCAATTTGGTTAAATTTTCAAGCACATTCCAAAGGGGCTGAGATCTAAATCCCAGACAATAGCTCATGTAGACGAGGCTCAACAATGAACAGTGATCCGAAGGAGTAGACCTCACGATGAAGTGCCCCAATTCCAATCCTCAAAAAGTTTTAAAAAACTATTATATCATACACACGAATTAATGGAATCCTCCATTAAAAAAATGTAATAGCTGTATACCGTACCTAGTCACCAGTCCACGAAATACACGCGGCACCAAAACAGGAGACTTTTTGTTCTTGTAATGCAGAAAATGGTGTATCTTCTCCATAGAATCAGCTTCCCTCATGAAATCAAATTCAAATTCAACCTTAAAAATAATCAAAGTTCTCATCAGCAAAAGATCATTTATTGAAGTGCTTCAAATTATGGGTAGAAATTTTCTACCAGAAAAATTCAACATCTTAAGAAAAAAAGATCAAAATTCGCAAATATCCTTGACAAGATGCAGTAATTCGAAAGGAACAGACGTAGGGACAGACAGCTGAGAAAGAATGTTGGATTTTGTTTCCCACGGTAACTGTATAAAAAAAAGGTATCCACATATTCAGGATCCTGAATCAGCCGTGGATGGTCCTCATGAGGGAAGCTAAACATGACAGATTTTATGGAACGGAAGGTCTATACTTACTAGCACAATTTTTAACAAAACGTAAAAGATATAAAACAGTTCAAAACTTGAAATTGAGAATTAAAGTAAAACATAAAACAAAACGTACTCCTTTGTGTTTATTTCCAACAGAGGATCATTGATAAGAGAAGACTATAACAGGATGATCATTGATAAGAGAAGACTATAACAGGATGATCATTGATAAGAGAAGACTATAACAGGATGATCATTGATAAGAGAAGACTATAACATGAAAACGACGTTTCACAGGCTAGCCAGAACAACTTTTAAGGGGCATCTTAATATCACAGGATGATCTCAATCATATAAGTAAACAGCAAATCAACATGTAAACAATACTATAACGATCTATTGAAATAGACGGTGCAGCAAAGAACTATCAAAACCTGTTTTTCAACTTCCTTTGTGGCAGAAAAGAGATCAAATTTTATCTCTGTTTTCTGCAAGAACAAGGCAAATGCCTGCAGGTTGTGAATGTCTGTCATCATCAGTCGATGAACACCAGGATGTTGTACCTACAAATGAACATGAAATAGGACATTATTCTTTCCTGTCTTTTACTGATGGAAAGAAAAAATTCTGAAATTTCCTTGCCTTGACTGCAACATCACTCTTAGCACCTCTCACTCTTGCTCGATGAACCTATCATCGTGAATGAAAAAAATAAATTCATCGCTACTCAATTAGTGCAATTACCAAATGACATCGAAAATAAGTGTTTCTGGAAGCAAATAGACCACTCAAAATAGCATCATGCACTACGGTACAATTTAAACCTGAGATGGAAACCAGAATATAGTAAAACAAGGTTAGCTGTTTGCCAACCCCCCTCAGGCTTCAATCCTCAAATATTCCCATTTCATGAGAAAAAAGGAACATTCAGCCTAAAAACATAATGCTCCCAATGTTGTGTTTTCCTCCAGGTACATTTGTGCGAATAAAACGATCCACGAGGTAAGCAACTCAGTGATCTGTGATCGACATCATAAGTTCAATGGAGAAGTATGACCCACACGATTTTGCTTACATAATTTATAGTATTTAGATAATACGACTAGTTGCAAAAAAAGGAGGAGAAGAAGAAGCGGGGGGGAGGGGAACATACTTATTTAGCCTAAAATTATACTCATTGCATAATCAAAAATAGAGGTGCTAGACATGGGTTGCTGTTAGGAGTCTATAAATATGTCACTATCCAAGTCAATTTTTACATTGCTTTTGCATGATTATATCTGTTCGAAGATAAAAAGGAAATCTTTGGGTTTTCTACCAAAATGTTCTGTCTCATGCAAAGTAGCACATCACTTTAACTAGATGGCATATCCAAAATAATGTAATACGAACAGGGCATTTCTCATTCAAATACATGATACCACTTGGATTCAAAAGTATTATTATCATTGAGTATCGACTTGTACGCTATATTGAGACTTATTATGAGATAAAAGAATGTTTATTCTACCTCAAAACCTATACTCTTATGAAGTTTCAGCATCGGACTCCATTGCAGAATTATCAGAATAATGTCAATTTTGTAAGATGGATCGTATATTGTAATAAATGAAAATATTTCTAAAAATTATTGGACAAGAAAAGAATTGAATGAAAAGCATCATCACCGAAAAACAAATACATCCTCGAGTATGTTAAAAAGTAGATAAGATGACAGAGGGAAAAAAACAAAGAAAAAAGTTAAATACCTATTTGACAGTTATCACTGACCAGTAGAGGATCAACATAATCATGATGTCTTGAGTTGACGTGTTGCCTAAAGTTGGATGAACAGAGAAATTTGACCAGGAAAATATGAGCTAGATATTTACATCTCTGAATCCCCTTTTCAAAAAATATGAACACGTATGTGCAACTATGCCCTTCAAATGAAGAAACAAAAGTGAACCACAGATGGGTATTTCCCTTCAGATATGCAAGGTTCAGACAAAGTCTTGTGGTAGGTCGACCGCATTTCAGGAAGACTCCAGACAGATGGTGGCATAATGCGTGCTCAAAAAACAGTGGAAAAATACGTTCAAACAAATATGATAACTCAACTTTTAAGGGACCTAATTCCTAATTCTTTTTTCGTGTTACTGACGTGTTCACTTTGTTTGGTAAAACCATAAATCAAAGGGTATTAAAAACATTTGATTCATGAACATTAGCACCTGTGCAATTGAAGCAGAGCCCAGGGGAACTTCGTCAAACTTTTCAAACATCATGGAGAAGCTTTGACCCAGATCCTCCTCCAATATCTTCTGAACGACTTCAAATGGTGTAGCAGGTGCTCTGTCACACAATGTGACTAGCCTTCTCACCCAAGCTGCTGGAGCCAGGTCAGGTTTACCCACAAGTTGAGCAGCCTAATTTAAATACCAAACTCAGTACATGTGACCTTGAACGCTTGTTTCCTTGGAAGAACGAAAATTCAAGATATACGCTAACAAGAACAGGCACAAAGGTAAAATAAAGTTAGCAACATCTATATGGCACCACTGTGATCATAAGATCTTCGTCCGAAATGATATTGGAATATTATACATGTAACTCGTCATGAAAAATAATGGCACGGAGACAATGCAGCAAGTTTGAAGCTAACCAAAAAAATCCACAAGAAAACATTAAAGATGATTTAGTGTATGTGAAGAAAACCAATACAAGTACAAGTCGGAAATAAATATTTGATCTTCATCATTGTGAGGGGACTCAAGAGGTAAAAGGGAACACTAGAAGCGCTCAGAATGGCATAATAATAGGTCGGTTGGCCTGGCATATGATAGAGTGGAATGAAAAATGAGATATTTGTCCATAAAACTTGACTAGCTGCGTTAAGATCAATAGGAATGATGATCATGGTTTAGAAAAGTTTCAATAAAATAAAAATATTTTAAAAATTTATGATAATATGTTACTTGATTATAACTTAACCAAACAGTGGACAGGTGACCAGAGCCTCAACTTTTTTACCCTTTTCACATTAGGAAATACTTTCCCATGGGTAAGTTTAGTTTTATTCAAATATATGGAGATGAGGGAATTAAAAGTATTTAACACTAAAACCTTTTGTACGTGTTTTCAAGAGACAGATGGAGTGATCAGAATCACACAATGCCATTTCTCAGGGGCAAAAGAAAACTATCGACAAGAACCGGATGGAAAAATCAGTTTGAACATTTATGGTTCGAATTCAGTAGTTAACATGGAAAAATAATTCCCATGAACCAAGATCACAATTTCACCAATCAACGAACTGAATACTTCTTCTACGACCTTGAGGAAGAAGCCCCCCATTTCGTAGCACATGGTGTATAGCTTATCGGCGGCGAGCTCATGCTGCCTCTCCCACATTGTCTCCCGCTCTCCAGCATCTTTGGTCAACCCAGCCCGGAACTGGCAGACCTGGGCGAAAAAAAGAGAGGAAAATTTCGCGGAGAACAGCAATGCCGGCAGCCATAAACCCCTCGAAAGATGAAAAGCAGGCTCATGCAAACCAGCTGACCTTGTATCCAGCGTAGACATCTGCAACGCGCACCCAGAATTGGAGGGAGCGGTGCCACGGCTCGAGCTGAATCGAGAGCTTATCTCGGAAAGTCGGGCCCGGGGATGAACTCATCTCTCTGCCGCTCTCCTGATCCTGGAAAGACGAAGAGGTCACTCCCGACCCACAAAAGAGCGAGTGTGAGAAGCGATGATATGGAGGGAGTCTGGGTGGCGGTTTCTCTCTTCGGTCGCGTGTGGTGGAGAAGGTGGGTTACCGTCTCGTGGGGCTAATTGAACAGAGGATACGGAATAGTCGGCGGAGAGAGTACAATGGTTTCCTAAGTCAGAGCGCTCGTTCCCATGAATGAACAGCTAAGAGAGAGTAAAAAGACCAGAGAAGGGTATAAGGGGGAGTGATCATGAATTGAAGATTCATATTCTGCCAAGTGAAAGTCATCTGAATAGTAGGAGGAGATGCCGTAGAGTAAATCATGGATAAGGTCAATACAAGAGCATCTGAATGAGTGTTAGTGATAATAATTTGAGCCCACTCAAGTTTACTAAATTCCTTCAAATACCTGTTTAATGTGTGGCTCGGCTTACTATAATAAAGACATGGTGAAAAGTCATTACAGCTTTTATCTTTGAGAGGACGGCCACTATCAAGCTTTAGGCTACGACCACCATTTAAACTATGAAGAGTAAATGCAACTTGAGCAGATGAAGTCGATATGACAAATGGTTGAGTGGTGCTCGATTGAACAGTAAGAGTGCCCGTAGTCACGCAAAGTACTACAGAAAAAATTGATGAAATTTTTTGACACATAATCACTTTAAAGAATATGGCCATAAATATGTGTGGTAATGTTTAGATGTAGACCACTAAGATGTACATTAATGTAAAAACTCTTGGTAATACCGCTCAAGAATCTGAAGGTTAATTGTCAGAGGTTGGAAAAGAGACAACTCCCTGATAATCACCTGAAGTTATTCAAAGTATATATAAAGTGAGAGATCACCTGATAAGTGAAAAGAGATTTGAATAACTACATAGTACATTGATATTTGTTTTGTTGGCATACATGATCTTCATTGCGAGCCAAAATTACTTAATGGGCCTGATACAAGCAAAGAGTTCGATGACAATCTGCTCAATATTTTAAAACATCTAGGTGGCTTATAATAAAGTCAATTTGAGACCAAGAAGCACATGTCGGGTCAACAATGGTTGATGAATCATTCATTAGATGATGAACCAAATTGTGGGATGTAAAGAAGTATTAGAAACCAAATGACTATGGTGTATAATTAAGACCAATGAAAATGTAAGCCGGCCAAGTCAATTGTACCATGATGAAGTGCCACGGGGGAAGGAGAAACGATGGCAGAGGCACTTTGACTAGAAGGGGGGCCATGGGCCGAGGTCTTTGAAGTAGAGAAGATGTATCTTGGTCTGTAATGATGATGATGGAAAACAACGTATTGATGTAAGTGCAAGAACGTGCATCAAAGGGCGACATGTAGCAAGAGATGTCATGTGACAAGAAGATAGTGCGGTAGGAGGCGATGTAGTAGGAGACGATATCAAGAGATACCGAGAGACATTATGAGATACTACAAGATACCATGGCAGCAAATGCCACGACGACAAGGGCCATGGTGAGAGATGTCACAATGACATGGGCCACAATGGCAAGGGGGTTGGGGCGGCAAGGGGGCTGCAACGGCTAGGGGGTCGTGACGACAAGGGCCATGATGGTAAAGGCCATGATAGTAGGGGGCCGTGGTGGTGGGTGCCATGACAGTGGGTGCCATGATAGTAGGACAGGCACCAGCACACTGGTTGCGCATGGTGCAACAAAAGATTTCAGCAGTGTGGTTGATGGTGGCACACACCAAGTGGTGGCATGCAGCATGATGGAAGTAACGGCAGCTAAAAAGAACCCTTGGGCTCTAATAATACATGTGTTTATATAAGTGAGAGAAGAGAGAGATAATAGGCCCAAGTGGGGCACATTGAGTACTATTTTCAAACATTACACATATTTTGTAAGATTTAACTTTAGGTGCTTATCGAAAATAATGATCTGATTTTTTATGGTCTAACGATCTTGATGTTGATAATTAATCATATAAACAATAAATAAAAAATTCCATTGAACATTTTCAGAGCTACCATTATATCCTATGTCGGAATACCTGAGGTTTCCCTTTTCGACACAAAAATCAGGTGGGTGGGTCATAAGCCCTTAAAAAGTGAAAAGTAATAACTAAGATCAGTAAGTCGGGACATCCCATCCCTCCTCATCCCTTAAAAACATAGGACGCATGAATCATTAATCCTAGTACTGAGTGAAAGAGAACGTGTGTCCCCTAAGCCTATCTACACAGAAAGCAATTCCCTTTGCTCCCTAGTGAGTGTTTTAGGAGACTTATCTACGCATTCCCGATCTCATAAAACTAACCTTTGATCGCCCCTCCCCGTCCATTCTCATGCATGCTTTGATGCTTCACGTACATAGGATTTAGTCATTTGAAGGATGTCTGGAGGAGGAAGTTGAAACGGCGAGGTTAATTTGCCTCCTGCTGCTGCTTCTTGCGAAAAGTCAACTAAAGAACTCGAGGGGGGGGAGGGGGGTGACTGCTGCCTCCTGTGTTTATTTGTACTACGTATATAGACTGGCCTCATGCCGCTGCTTCTTGATCAAGCCGGCTCTCGTCCCCTCCCGCCTCTCCTCGCAGCGCCTTCCTCGTCGACGTCCATAATAGAGCGACAATGAATAGATGGATAGACAGGTGGATATATAGATAGATAGATAGAGATAGAGTGAGAGAGATATGATTTCGTGGGTTTTGATTTCGTGTTTAAGTGTGAAGCGACAAGTTGCGATGTAGGCTAGTTTCACATCTTTTAAGAGGCCAGAAAAATCAGTTCTCCGAGCTCAAATTCTTAATTCAGATATGATTTATTTTCAACCCCAAAAGTGGAAAATACGATTTATTTTTTCAAGTTTTGGTTACATAAAGTTTCTTATTTACATGAAATTCTTGCCCCTGCTTCCTCGTGGGACTAATTTAACAAAGGGCACGGGATTGATGGCAAAGAGAGTAGTACTATGGTGTTCCCATGAATGAATAGCTAAGAAAGAGTAAAATTAGAAAATATAATCCTAAAGATAACATGCTATTGAAATATGAATAAAAATTAGATGATTACCATGATTGAGATATATTCACCCATAGTTCCTCCAATGTCATGATGCCTTAACAACCTTCTTAAGTGCGTGAAACATGTATATTAAAATGAATAACAATTAGTATTTAAGCATTCATGCTCTCAACTTCATGAGTAGATTTATAGGTGTGGCTCTCTTTCCTTCTCTTTTTAGTATGGTATGAAGTCTTTCTTTATAGACGGCAACTTAGAGGAGTGTGGTTCTTCTCCAACAAATATAGATGGTGGGTAAAAGAATATAGTATTACGTTAAAAAAGGATTTTGACAAAGTACATATTGTTATAAATTAAATATTCATGTCAATACTATGAGTGTTTTGTGTAATATTTTTTCCATATAACTTGTCTTTAGAATGGCTTTTAAAAGCATTTGCACACCTATATCTACAACTATAATTCAAGAATAATGCAATTACAATGAGTATAATGTCAATTCTATACTTAATCCATCGAGCATAAATAAAATATTATGTGATTACAGATAACATAGTTTATCAACAAGCAGTAGATATAAGGGTTGATTATTTAATAAATCATGAAAATCATGTGTGTGGAAGTCACGTTATATGAGCATAAATAATATAATAAATCAATGAACAAAATGTTTGAAGCTAAACAAGACAAAATAGGATTGTAAAAAATTTAGTATATCAATGAACACAATATACAAATACATATAGAATAGCATATGATTGGGTATCACAATATATTTGTGGATACAATAAAATATATGGTTTTAGTTATGACAATGTGTAAGTGAACATGATATATGAGTGTATATATATATATATCCAGATGAACTGGAAAAAAGTATTAGCAATCAAAGAATGGCCGATGTCCAAAAGGGTGGCCGATATATATGAACGCTGGTAATAGAGTAAATGATGCTAAATATTTAAATATATTTGTAAACATTATTGACAGTAGATGTCATTGTATATCAATTAACATAATATGTAGCCATTTTCTTAATATAATGTATGACTAGAAATAGTATAGGATCTTAGTGAACAGAATGAAAATAACACAATATATAATAATAGATATCTTGATATTTTAGTGAACACAATGTGAGAATGTGGATATAACCACATATGCATGTCAATGACACAATATATAACTAATGCAAACAATAAAATACATGCATGGGGGTAGGGTGGTATATATTGTGAACATGAATAGTTGTGTATGGGAATTTAGATGATATAGTATTTATGGCAAACATGAAGAAAATTGTACATGCATGTCAACCATATTGTGTAAACAATTTTCAATTTATTCATTTGGATGACATAGTTTATCATGAGCAAAAAAAACATGGTATATGAATGAAAAAAACCTTGTATTTGCATGACATAGTATATCATGAACACAAATAACATGGCATATACATGGTGATAATGTAGTTTGGGCACATCGTTGATTGTGTATATCTTGAACACAAGTAATAGCATATGTGTGATGACAACATAGTAAATTAATATCAGTAGCAAAGTACATTTTGAATACAACAAACAACATGTATGTATGACTACAATGTAGTATATGAATATCATTAACATACTATGTCATGAAAAAAAATAAAGTATAAAGATATGATGATTACATATGATATGAATCATTAAATGAGTGCACACTCCTCTGGATATTTGAGATTTCGTTTCGTAGGCTAGTGTATGCTCTTATTAGTATGACTAATAATGTTCTTAATAATATGAAGAGTGATCTTCTATGCCTAAATATTATTTTTTGCATACCTCAGGATCCCTTCATATGCAAGCTGAGGAAGAGGATAAGATGTGTTTAATCAGCTCGATGAAAGGGATTTTTATGATCAAAGCACAATCATCTCCTAGTGGAAAGAAAAGTAGATTAAAACTTTGCCAAACATAAATATAGGTGGAAGAGTACCACAAGCCATTATACATCTTGTGGTGGAAATCATACTAGTTGTAGAAGAGGCAAATAGTATGCACTAGATCAAGGCAAAAGCACAACATCAAACGATTATTCATGTAGTTGATGGCTAGTGATTGATAAATGTATATTTCAAGATGTAATGATAGGTAATAGCTTGTGTAATAGCTAGTGATTGATAAATATTTATTTAAAGATGTAATGATAGGCAATAGCTAGTGTAATAGCTTGTGATTGATAAATATATATTATTCGTCTGGAGCTAAAGTTGTCATTTGGGTTTTACTGCAACACCAACGTAATGATTAATAAAGTTAAACCATAGTTAGTGAATGGTAGGCAATAGCTAGTGACGAATGGCTCAACTCTCCTTAGCTTAAATTTGCAGAGGCATTTCTACTATTTGAATCAAAGAAGGTATTTTTTCCTAGTTCATAGCGTCGCGGGAGATCACGTAGCTATTGCTGATCGTATGGGTCATTCACACGAAGAAGAACCAAAATACGTCTCTGAAATGTACATTACACGACAATGCTGCTTGAGGGAGCGAGTGGCACATGGACTGCGCATGATCCGCCACGCGTCACGGCCGAAGTGAGACGCTCTCTTGTGAACTTGTGGCTGGTGAGCGATGCGGGGCCGCTGAAAAGGCTTACGGGAAGTCCCGCGGATAAGCAAGCGAGGGAGAAACAGAGAGAAAGAAAGAAGAAGGGGTGGCGACGGGTCGCTACGCGCCGGAGCGGCTCCATCTGGTTTCCTTTCCTCTAGGTAGGAGTACAAGCGCGCGCGTGTGCGTGCGCGAGGGAGGAGTGAAAGGGAGGAGATTAGAGGAGGAAACCTGAGGTGGTCATGTCTCTAAACGCTCTGGTTCGGCTCCCGCTGTCCTCCTCTGGCGCGAGGAGGACACAGTTGGATGACGCCTTGATGGGTCGGTGTGTGCGGCAGCAACAGCAGCCGCAGAGAAGGCAGCAGACCATGGTGGTCGAGGCCAAGGGGAAGAAGGCCATGCCCCGCCAATTCCAGCGGCAGGCGCCCCCGCCCTTGCCCAAGATCGAGGACGACGGCAACCCTCGCTTCGTTATCTTCATCCGGACTGCTAATGTCAGTTCCGTCTTCCTTGCTACTCTTTCTTCCATTTCGGGCATGTTGCCGCTTCATACTTCCCTTTCTATTTCGTTATCGTCTTTCCGCTCTCCAATCCTCCATTGAATGACTACTCGTGAAATCCGCGATCGCTGTAGATTCTTTCTTTTCTAAAAATCTTATTATTTCTCAGCTTTGACATCTGCTTAGAGAGGTGAAGAGAAGAATAACTTGAATTTATGGGAGTCTAGGAACTTTCTTCTTGCTCTGATGAGTATAGCTTGATAGCAATTGTGGGCACCTTCCTTTGCTAAATTTTAGAATCTCTGATTTTAAATAGGTCCGTCCATTTAGCTACTGACTTTTCTGCTCCTTGCCCTGTTGTTCACACGCAGCAACATTCAATCAGAAGTCAAGCCACGGCCTGATTATTGAAAATTTGGCCCGTGTGACTTATTTGAAAACTCAGATAAGTTCTATGTTAGGGAATGGATTATAACGCAAACTTTTACCTTGGACCCTTCACGTAGTCAGCTTAGTCCTTGAAATTTTTCTATATCCGTTGTTGAGATTGAGCAATTAGATAAACCTGCACCAAAATGGTTTTTCCTCTTGTTTTCTTTTATAATTTTCAGGACCTTAACGTCTTTGTTTAAAAAAATTAATTTTAATTTATAGGGAAAAGTCTGTTATCTCTTAACTGGTTTTTTCTTGGTTTTGTGCATGTTGTAAATTATGCAGATATATTTATGGTACCCACTAAGTGTTGTAACTGGGGGTACCACTGCAAAGATTATGGTTGCTGCGAAGGATAATTTTCTTGGAAAGTACATTTACAAAGATACAATTGCCAGGAATCTTGCTGCTGTAATTTATCGAGTAAGACATTTATTCATATTCTCTCTTTTCTTTTTTCTCGTATTTTAGTCGCTATAATTTCTTTTTTTATACGATACGGGTATTTAGCTTAATTACATCTATTTCTCAATAGGTACAGAATATATATAACATTTTGATTTTTCGATATTCAATTGACGTTGTGACATCTATTAAAACAATAATCACATAAACTTGGTATTTCTGGAAATAGGATATTTTATACTTTTTCCGCAACATAGCTATGATGCAGCATCTTGATGTATGAAACATGTCCCTTGATCATTTAATAAGCAAGGGTTTCCAAAGGATGTAATTGCAGTACTTAAATTCTAGAGTTGGCGTCCTTTGTTTACTTTCATAGAGCCTCTCCTTCAGATCACTCTATCAATGGATGGGCTCTTTTCAAAGTGTTGACCTCTTGGTTTCTTTCATGGAACCTCTGTGGAGAGAAAATATACTAAGAATTAAGTTTGCTAGAAATGGAAAACTATATCTTCATGGATGCAAGTCCAGAGGTCTTTCCCACAGCAATGAAATGCTTAAAGACACTAGAACAAGGAGCATATATTTGAAATGATCAATCTCCTCGGCTGTTTTTATGGTCTATTAATGCTGAGATTAGAAATGTGTCCTGCTTCTGTTGTTTCGAAAACAAGGTCTCTAGCTGGTGAAACCTTTATAGAGCTTGATGAGTGGTCTGGGATTGTGTGATCCGGATTCCAATTCCAACGAATATGAAATGCCAACTTACACACAGAAAAAAGTGCCAGCAAAATGGTGATCTGTTCATTACTCATGATAGTGACTGTTCTGAAAGTCAGATTTTTCGGAAGCAGCTAGCAATAACCCGTGTCTATAGCGGTCCCAAGGCTAAACCTGGGCGGGTCTGAGCCCAGGTCTTGGTCAGATCTCTTTGTTCCTTTGGCTAGGGCTCATGTTATCAAGAAAGAACCCTACATCTCTTGAGAACATCACCCATCTGTCTTGTATCCTGATATATGTTCCTCAGTGACTCAACAGAAGATTTCACGGCAAGAATTTATCCTGAGGACTTGCTCAAGGGGGTTGAACTGCCTTTGTTACAGGTGCAGGTTCTCCTGAGCCATGAAACATAGCTGTCGCCCCCAGATTGAGTCCTGAGTATTCAGGGGGTCAACTGCTGCCCACGGCCAAGAGATGCAACAGCTGAGTGTAACCCAGGCTTCCGAGTTGTAGTGATGGCACTGTATCGTCTTCCTCCCTCTGAGCACAACGGGGGAAAGTGTGGAAACCTCTTGAGACACGTTGTGTGGGATTCTTCTTCATTCTTGAAGAGCAGAAAACCAGAAACACCAATGGTGATTTATGGGTTGCTCACTGTCATCGTGGCACCTTCTTGGTTCCCAAGGGCTTCCTGGGTGACTGTCTGTGATGAAGCATTTCTTCTCCGTTTATGGATCGGACTGGCTGATATGCCTAGCTAGCCAGGTTGCTATCCTGCCAGATGTGGGTAGTAAACCTGTGTAAGGGGCAAGCACAAGGCCGTGCAAGTAACATGACACATGAGAAGGCCACCGATATTGGCATAGTAGGGGACTTCTAGGAGCTGCAGTGCCCATGGACTCCATCTTATGGAGCATTCACCAAAGTGGTGTCTCAGAGAAGTCCAATGCTAGAGAAAAGTCTGCAAATTAATACAAAAAATGTAAAGACTCTTTCCTATGAATCAAGAATGTGCTTAGAAGGAGATGGTAGATTGTAGATGTCAAAAGCAGGTGAATGTCCCTTCCCTAGGTACTATAAATGTGACTCTTTTGGAGCTGTATACAGAAAAAAGGTTATGTTTCAACTTTATTATGCGATTGACTTGTTCGGATATCAAGAGAATCCTGTGGGTAGAGCACAAATTGAGGCACAAGGAGAACGATCTTACTTTATTTGGTCATCTTAAATATAGATGGGCATCTTTAACTCAGAGAGGCATTTTGCCTACACAAATCAGAATAGACAAGATTAGCATCGAAGAATACCTGGATGGTGTCAGAGAGACCAGACATAGAGGGCCAATATCCGAAAATTTGGCTCTAAAGAGGAACTATTGAAGGTGTAAGATTGAAATTTCTGATTGCAGGTAATGCGTAATTGACCTCTTATATTGCTTTTTTAGAATCTGATCCCTTAGGATGGATTGAGACTGTCTGTGTGCTTTTGTGCGTGTGTGAAAGAAATGGGGGTATACTTAATTGTTGCTTTTTGCCACAAATGAAAGGTATACTCAAATAAAAGTATGGTTGCATAATTACAATAGATTTATCACTTGTCATCTCACCTCATTACGAATCTGGGATATTTTCACAGGGTAGCCCATCATTGCCATTAGCACCTGCCTGCTTATGACATGACAAATGGCAGGCTTTCAACAGGCTGACAGCTTTCCTGAAACCTATTCCGGTCGTTTTATTTTTCACGTAACTTTTCCCGTGATTATGAGGCTTTAAGACTGTTATGTGATGTCGCATAGTGAACTTTTCGTCCCCATTAAACTCATATATTTTTCGCAGTAAGTTTGTAAGAATGATTTTGTTTATATTTTTCAAGTCTCTTTCATCCAGCAGTTGGAGCTCTGATCTCATGAATTACTGACTGACTTCATCAGGTGGTCTAATTTAAACAGGATGAAAAAGCATTGCAAAAGACAGCATTTAAGCAGTTTCGTGTGCTTCGCACAGCCACGTCATTCAGATATGGCTACAAGCTTGTTGTATTTCTCTTGGCCTTACACTTCTCTACAGCACTATATGTTTGAAAGAGTTATATAAATATTTTCTAGTGAATTCTACAGGAAAATAACAACCTTAGAGCTGCACTTTCGACATCAGATGTCATTGAAGTAAAGCCTTTTCTACCTTCCATTTGAGCTAATTTATGTTTTCTTCCTAGGGTTTATGTACCTGAGATATAATATTTCTTTCTAAAATTGACGCCATGTAATATTATCTGACGTGCGTTTGTGGGCAGTATATCGGATTTTTCATCACATCTTGAGTTGCTTCATTGCTTCTAGGAGTATGAAGCGTGGCATGTAAGAAATTTTTTGTAGATAATTCAAAACATCAAAGTCAACGTGGTGTACCTTAGTAACTCTGGTGACGATTCTTTGGGCGGGCTAAAATTAAATGAGAAAAAGTGTTGACTTGTCCCAAGTAGCAATATGAATGGAATGGGAGACACAAAAAAGGGCAAGACCTTAGGGATCCCAGTGCATCCAGATGTCTGGATTTGATTCTTATAATACAATCAACATCAGATATACTGCTCAACACTATGTGTTCTAAGGCCCATGAAAATCATCATCAATAAACCTATTCTCCCATTTTTGTATGATTAAAATTGGGTGTCTACTTTGCAGAATCGCTTTGATGTTCCTTAATAATCATATTTAAATGCAGAAAGAATAACTCCTTTTCCCATGATCGACTGAAGCTTTTGTACTTTACATCATTGACACCCTACGTTAATATTTACTATTCATTTGACCCCTTTTCTACTTGGTGGCTTATTGATTTCAAAGTTTATATTGTTGTCATCCTCTTCCCGAGTATATCTACTTTGCTGAAGACGTGCCATATCCTCTTCTCCACATATCTGCCTTCTTGATCTATTTCCCCCTATATCCCTAAGTGCCCCTAAATTTCAAATAATGAGAGAAATTGACCAGCTCTTCGCATGCTTTTGTCACAAAGCTTGCACAATTTATGGGCAAACGCCTTGGTTGATTTCAGTGTAAAAATGCCATGATTAGTGTCACTGTATCAGAAAGTTCCCTCCCCTATGAGTTGATTCTGGTTGATCTAGTTTGGGATTAGAATTGACGCTGTGTCATGCATCTTGCTGATATTATTTTTAATTCCTTGGCTCAGAGAGCATCTCTAGATTGGCCATATTATGGAGAACACTGACAAGTAGTATCACGAGTAGGGTCTTTTGGATCGTCTTTTGGCCCCTTAAGCATAGTTAGTGGGTTTTCCAAATGCTTTTAGGAATATTGGGTCTTATTTGATTCTTTTAAAAAAATGTTAGCAATATTTAATATTACTCATATTTTTGCGATGAATCAAACTCAATGATATCTTGTCTGACTTATTGAGAACAAGTTCGCCATATCTTTGCAAACAGGTTACTGTAGGACTTAGGAGTGCATAAATAAGGGATTAGTCATCATAAGTGTAGATTTTTAATGTGGAAAATGTTCGGAGATTTGCTTCCTAGGCTGCTTCCCCCCCTAACAAAATCTCCTTTATCAGTTGCTTCAGTTCATCATCTCAATCCTCTATATATTAGTGTTCATACAACATTGAGAAATCTCAAAAATATCGAATTCATTGCCCCAACTCTACTTGGCTCAAATTTCATTTCATAAAAAAACTTGCAAAGGCTCTAGTGTGAATTGGTCTTTCCATAATTATGAGATTTGCTAAATTATGTGGAGAATGGTTTGTTGCGAATCCAAAGAGCTGCATGAATTCGTTGGATTATCAACTTATCTTGTATTTTGTTTGCTGTAGTTGTCACTTCAACAGTAGGGACAATCTTCAATCTTTGAAGGAGAATCCCGGTCTCCCTTAAAATTTCTTCAAAAATAAAGCTTAACTGATACCATTTAGATCGACAATACATTGGCTGGGCCACCCCCTTGAAAAGTATGTTAGTCTTGCCTTTTGTAGAAAGAGAAGAAGAAGCTAAGAGAATGCCGCCTACAATTAGCATTTTTATACTTTTTTATTTTTTTTTCCAGAGTAACAAGTTGGTGATCGTGTGCAATGTTTAATATTTTATCAGATCTCATAGATGAATGGTCCATCAAAGTCAATGACAAAGGTAGGTGGATAGATCCAATTGGCAATGTCCCTATTGTCTAGCATCGGGGCTTTTTTCTCACTCAATTGTGCAGTCTACTGGTGGGAAATGAATCAAGGGCTATTTCATGTGGCTAGCTTTTTTTTTTCCTATAAATTTGGTTTCCATAAGTGAATTTTCAGCATTTTCCCTGTCTCCTGAAAAGTTGTAAATTAATGCTCTCATGGCTACTGTGTTGTTGACAAGGTTTATATTCACAAGACCTGGTTGTGCATTAATGACATGATTCAGGCATTCTTGCGTTTAATATGTCATCTCTAATCATACTGCTGTCTTTTGAGATTTTTTTTGTTGTTATTCTCCTATCTTTGGTGTTATAATTTCCTGATTTGAGACTAAGCCCCTGCTATTTTTCAACATTTGTAACCTTTTCAGCTCCCGAAAGAGGAAGAGCTCAAAACTGTGTTTGACAAAGTGAAAGATTTCTTTGGGGATGCAGGCAAGAATGCCAAAGAGTCATTTGGAAATATCACATCCCTTTCTTCGGAATCTGAGGCATCAGAGCTGAATTCCGAGTCAAAAGGCTGAGTAAGTTCTAGCTAATTGTTCGGACTGAAGCCTCTCTCTTTCTTCCTCGTTACTCATTCACAACGGTTTGGATTATGGATTAATCTTGCTGTCTCTGCCGATTGAAATAGCTATGCCATAGACAGAGATATAAGCATAATGCAGGGCTAGCATTATCCGTCGGTCGTCTATGTAGGATCTACATCATTTTCCAATAAAATAAATCAACTTTAGGCGTTAGAACAGGTTCCCAGAACCGCCCTCAACCCCGAACCTAAGTATTGACCCCAAATCATGGATATTATGTTGTTAAGTGCATGTATCATGTCAGAGGTACTACCATCGATCAACATTTCTCCTTTTAAAATTCAGTGTATGAGTTCATGTGCAGGAATGAATGGCTGAAGGACAGTGAAACGAACTCGGTTTTGATGCTACTTGAATCTTTGGATGTCTTATGCTTGGCATGTTTGTCACCTTGCATCATATTTGTCTGTCTTGGTTTCAAAAGTGTGCTCTAATTGGGAAATATTCCGACTTGGTAACTTTATTATTGCCTATCTTATGATAAATCCACAAGGGCTGACCCATTGATTGTTCTTCATTTTCTTCCCGCAGGACCTGACCTGAGACCAAGATTGCAAACTCGTGGAGCTGGGTGAGGGAAACGAATGAGGCAGAGCGAGGGTTGGTTTCGATTTTCTCGGTGTTCTCTTCTATGGCGTTTCTATGTTCATAGGTACATCGTCCCACGGCTCTGGTTTTCCTGAACGTCGGGCATGGTTTCATCTGTCATATCTTCATGGTCGCTGTGAATTACACTGTGCATTAGGTAGGTTATTATTTCCCATAACTCAGCTTCAACAATTTCAGGCTCGACTAGAAGTTCCTACGAGAAATCATATAAGATAGAAATGGTAGGAGGCTCCCTTCGACATTTTCAAAGAAGGGACGCGCCCTGCTCCTCATCTTAAGGCACAACCATTTATAGTACGCTAGTCAATTTCGATATTTTGTAGCTGCAATTCACTCAACAAACGAAGAAGGGTGAGCGACCGCCCACCTTGAGGTCAAAGATGCCACCTTTTGGAATTCTAATCAAGACACTCTTTTGGCGTAGCGAACTGAAGGATCTGTCGCTAATAATCAAAGAAAGATTTTATTTTGAGCAAGTTGAAAAAGGGTTGGGTACCTAAAACTAAAAAGGGATGTGATTCTAGTTTTTTAATTCATGGTCTCTCCATCAATGATACAAATGTGCCCGTTTACAGCCATCACCACTGATCCACTCTTCAGCCAGGGCTGGCGACGATGGAGACTATCCCGCCCAAGAGGTGGGATGGAGGCTGAAGGCCACAAATTACAGAGAAGTTGGTGCTGAAGGAGGGAGATCTTCATACTACCAACCCTTTTCTGAGGGGATCCCGAGTCAGGCCATGCTTCTTTAAAGTTTTGATGTAGTTCCTCATTAGAGAAAATTTGTTGGTACCCAGATGGTGGAAGTAATCCCAGGTGTAAATTCCAGTTTTGTGAAGATCATCAAATATAAGTCTGATACCATAGTTCCCAATAGGTTCTGCAGACATGATTCCTACATGCCGTCGGCCAAATATTACCTGGTTTAACACGAATCAAATTGTTGAGGCATGCATGGTATGCAATAATTCAAATTAAGAAAGATAATCACGATACTTTGCGGTGTGATTGAGGTATTAATTCCTATGGAGGGTTAAAACCATAGGCAGGACAAAGAGGGAAGTGCAAAAGGAAAAAATTAGATGAATTATCCACCTTGTGTACAAAAGATTAATGTCGCCCTGTGAGCTAAGCCAAAAGCATGTGCTTTCCGTACTTGGCCACTAAAAGCATTCAAAAGCATGACTGAAGAATGAAAAAATAAAAACATTCATACTAATACGATTTTGATGGCTCAGCTTAGGCAAGGAAAATGAATTATCATGGAGGATGCGAGTTTGCAAAAAAAAAGCTAGGAAGGCATTATGTCTTGATCATGTTATCTTATCAGAAGTTCAACAGTTGTGTGGATGTCTGTGGGCTACTACATGATTTCATGATGTGTGGAGGGCCATCCAAATCGTTTTATCTCATTATTCATTATTCAGCATGAGAGATGTGAACTGTTCTAATAGTATGACTAACTAAATAAAAAAGAAAAACATTCATATGCTACACCATTGGATTAAAAAATAAAAAGGGGGAAAGCCTTCAACTAGATATGAGAGATGTGAACCGTTTTCATACTGAATAATGAATAATGAGATAAAACCATTTCAATGGCCCTCCAAGCATCATGAAATCATGTAGTAGCCCACAGACATCTACACAACCGCTGAACTTCTGATAAGATAACATGATCAAGACATAATGCCTTACTAGCTTTTTATCTGCAAACTCACATCCTCTATGATAATCCATTTTCCCTACCTAAGCTGAGCCTTTAATACTTAATCTAAAGCTCGAAAGAGGTGGATGCCCTTCACATTCTTAAGTAAAATAAATACACAATACTTACATGGATCTAACTGAGAACTTTTTATGCCACAATGTAACTTATTTGAACCTCAAGCCACCATTGACCTTCTAGTAAACGATGGTCAACATTACTACAGTGTCATGACAATGTGAAAATACATGCATTATGTCACCATGATGTGACATAAAGCTGGTTCAATGATACAGCAGCAGTAATCCCACATTCCAACAAGCACTCATAATTTATATGCATACCAATACAAGTATCTACATGGACATCCACATGTCCACCGACCCTTCAATCTCATATAGACATAATGTAAATTCTTCCCGGAAATATCACATCACAGTGGATAATAATTAAACGAAGATGTAAATTCTCATCGATGCTTCCAAAATCCTAGATGGTGCATGGAGGGTAACATTAGGCAGTGAATATTGATTTCAACTCCAGAACTTTATAGGCATTTGGAAGCTTTCAGGAAAACCCAGTTCCTAATAGCTCTCAACAGCATAATTCTTCTCCCACGCATGTCAGTTAGCCATTAGCCATGGTATGGTAGACCGTTTTATGATGTTGTATCATACTAGTCATCAAGTACGCATTGTAAGAGAAGATCTCTACAGAGCTGACATTATTAGCAAACTAAACAGATGATGATTTCAAGAGCCTGAAAAAATGTGAACGTGGGGGATGAGTACCCTGAGGATGAAGATGCTTGAGTGTGCTTCTACTGTAAGATCGTAACTGATAGGACTTCAATTGCATAAGCACACAAGCAGACAAGAACTGCAATTATTCATCTCAGCTGAAAACTTATAAAATCTTTTGGGGGCGATAAAGAAAATTTGTCCAGATATTAACACATTCTTTATCTTTGAAATCCTACTCGAATGCCAGAGAAGTACAGTAAAGCATGATGAACTAGTTACTAAATGATTAATCTGAGGATTACCTTCTCGCCCCCTACTGAGCGAACCTTGCTGTTGGCAGCAGGGCTATGTATTCTAAGGAACTCGGCTGAGAGATTAAAAACATTTCCATCAGAAAATTCTAACTCAACCTGAAATTACAACATTAAAGAGAGGAAAATTTAGCAAATTTTAACCTTAAAAGCGCAGCATATAAACTTATAAACAGAGCACGAAATTTGATAGCCAGAGCAAGTACATTATGTAGAAGCTCAGGACGGGACGAAAATGTGTGGTTATAATAAGTCAGTGATTAGAAATCCATAGAGTTCCGCTATTATTTTTCATGACGCAAGGAAATGAGAGGACAAGTCGCAGCATAAGTGACCCAGCGTGAGGAAGAAAAATAGTAGATGTTCTATTTACTTTGCAATTTTCAGATGATATTTTTCAGCCAAGGAGAAAGCACCCTGCTTGTTATGTGAGATCCCAACTTGTACTAGTATCCGTGTCGGACGAAATAATAAGAGAAGAGATTTAGCTAGATGGTGCAAAGGGTGAAATATTTTGCAGGAGGCAGGGCCGCCAGGGTCGCGAATCACCCCGCACGAAAGGTGTACATTAAACCTAATCGTGCCGTAGATTATACAGGGTTCAGTTACCAGAAACGATCTGGAGAGCGGCTGAGGAGGATAGAGGGGGAGGAGAGCAAGAAGATGAAAATGCAAATCGTGGTGGGAGAAGAGAAGAAAAAAGAAACTTCTGTACCGACCTAATCACCAGGAAAAGCCACTATGGAAGAGAAAACTCGAAAGCTTGAATGTTACATAGGTGGAGAAAACTCATTACAAGAAGAAGAGGAAATCACCGCTGATACGGAGAGAAGGCAAGGAGAGACGATTACGTATTTAGGGGCGTGAAGGCAGAATTTCCTTAGGCGGGGAGGCTGCACCAGCGTCTGCAGGAGGCGTCGCCAGGACGCCGACTTCACGGCTGAAGCCGACATGCGAGGAGACGGCTGACGGTCGCGCCGAACAAGGTGACTGTATACAGCTTACTGGTTCTTCGGCCCCATCCCCAATCCTTTAACGAAACCATCGGAGTACGAAAGGTCTCCGCCAATAATACTAATTTTTCTTTATTTTCCATGTACCAGAGACTTTATTTTACGCAAAGTGCTGCGACAAGAACCACCCCCCCTCCTCTCTCTCTCTCTACTCTCTTAAAGCTTTGAGAGAGTAGAGAGGGAGTAGACAGAGAGAGGGTAGGAGGCTTAACTACTAAAGATCAGAGAGTCCATTCTACACGTGTGCAATGAGTTGTTTCCTCTCAATTCCTCTTGTTCTGATCTTAGTGGGATAAGACATGCCACTTTTATTCAATATAATTTCAATAAAGGTAACGGTGCAATGGGTATAAAGTTTAACTTTATATTTTTTTAAGAGCTAAATTTTAAATCTTAATTGAAGAATTTCCTAAATGATTGGTTATAAGTTATGAAAATATATGCCAGAGAGGTGGGGGAGGGGCGGGGATCTCAGCGTAATTTCGTTTCTGGCGGCAATGAAATTCAAATTTCGAGAGTATATATCTACAAATACCTTTTTTGTATAGTGGTAAAAAAAGTAACTTCATTTACCGGGAGAACATGCAAAAATGTCTTCTTAGGATTTTACCAGACCTTCTAATCCCTGAGACTCTTCGTGGACGAGAAAAACTAGAAAAGACGTGCTCTTTGTAGAAGCAACGTAATGTCATAAAGCACCTCGTCTTTCCCAAAATTGCACTTTCATCTCCAGTGCGCAGTCTCCGAGACCGAGAATCCCAAAGCAGACGTATTTCTCTTATAAATTCCTCGTCGCAGAGAAAACTGTTTCACACCCGACGAAGAAATAATTAGATGTATACTCCTGCTTTTACTGTTGATCCTTCCTGCTTTTACTGCTTGAGCCAGGAGGCTTCAATGGATGAGGGGCATAAATAAAATTCCAAAAATTGTCTTGGGGAGATGTCTGTGCTGCGCTCATTATCGAAGCTGCAGAATACCTGGATTCGATTTTACATACACAGTTAAACAAAAAAGAAGGGACGGCTCCACTCTCCTGTGGCTGCCCCTGCGCCGGCCAGAGCCGGTGACGAGAAGGGCAGGGGAGAATCCGTGGGTCGGTGATGATCTTGGTTACTCATCTGCGGGGCCCTTATCATCCGTTTTATGATCTTGCCCAGGTCTGTCTCCCTGATTTTTCTGAATTTCTTCTGAGCTACGTGTTCTCAGGATCTAGGTTGGTTCTCGGGCCTGCACCGATTCCTTTTAAAAGTACTGAGTTGGGATTTGATCGAAAGTCCCTGGCATTATTCATTGACCCCGAATTGATTCTTAATCATGGAACTAAAGCTTAGGACAACAGCACTGACATCATAAATATTCTATTTGAGCATAAATATTCAAGCAACATGAGTCCAATCATCAATGAATGGCACACACCATTAAGCCCCGGCAACACTAGAAGCGGTAGGACCCCATACATCATTATGACTAAGATAAAGGAAAGGAACAAAAATTATTGGATTAGTAATTGAAAATCTACTAGTTTATGTTTAGCAAGTTTGCACAAGTCACAATGAAAATATTCAACACTTCGGCCTTAAAATAAACAAGGAAACCAAATTCTAATATCGCCAAGTGATGGATGCCCAAGTCTGTGATGATGAAGCCAAATCTCTCTCCTTATTGGATGAACAAAGGAAAAAAGAAGAACGTAATTTTCCCTTTGCAATGTCTGATTAGTCGATGCTTCAAACTAGTAGACTAAGCCCTATTTTCTAGCATGTCCAATCATCAACCTGAAGTCCTTTTCACATGATGAATACTACATTGTGATATAAACTGTAAATTTTGGATGGACACAAGGTTTGTGGACAATTCTGAGAGATGAAGAATATTTTTTAAAGCCAGTGTTTATTTTAAAATTTCCTACACCTGATATAGTAGTTAATAAACCATCAGCTATGCTTATTTTCCTACTACTTGGTTGAGGAGAGTATGTGAGAAGGGCATTTGGTGAATACGTCATATGGTCAATAACTTCAGAATCCATTATCTATTAGTGGCTGAAGATTGTACTTGAGGCATTTAATCTAATAGATGACGGAAACTCACTAGAATATGCCAATGGAGAAGAATCTGTGAGTTTGTCAAGTTTGTTAATGAAAGATCTCACCCTCTCAACTTCCTTTCGGTTGAGACCACCAGACTTCGTTATTGCTTCTTCATTCTGTTGTACTGTCGTGGCAAGAGCTTGACCATTGTTCCTTGGCTGCTCTCATTTCTGCCCCTTTCCTTGATTCTGAGATTTTCCATGGAGCTTCCAACTCTGCTCACGAGTATAACGTGGCTTTCTTACACTAGGTGCACTATATCTAGATAGAGAGATCCGCAGCGTGAGCAACCCGACTGTGCGTGACTATTCTGATGGTCGTTCTAAGCAACTTGTGTTCTCTCCACATTTGTGGCCGAGTAATTGCCACTTACAGTCACCATAGTTGAGTTGTACATGCTTTGTGGTTCGAGCATCAAGCCTCTTCCGTTTCGCTCTCCTCAAATCCATGCCACTACCTTATTAAGGGCCGGAATCTTCTGTTTGCCAATAATCTGAATCCTCACTGGATCAAACTCTGGATTAACCCAATGAGAAAATGATAAACTGTCTTTCTTGATGAAATTTTTAAGAATAGCTGCATCCTCAGGATATTTGATTTCGATCACCCTGTAATGGTCAAATTCTTGCCACAAAGCTTTCTATTTATTTGCAAATTCTGTAACTTTTTTACTTCCCTGTTTTGCAGGAATTATTTCCACCTTATCTTTATATACTTGAGCCGCATCTCTAGCTTTGGAATAACTCTGTTCGATTGCATCCCACAGAAAGTTTTTCTGTCACCTCTTCGAAGTGAAAATGGTCCAGTAAATTACAGAAAGTTTGGCAGTGTGTTTTGAGGGTTGTACCTAATAGTAGAACCTTCTTTGAAAACAGAAGAAAAACAATGGTTCTTGTTGGTATAGTTTAGGCTTTGAGAGTTTAATTTCAGTTGTTATTGAACAACGGTTGAGATTAGTTGTCACCCTAGTTCAACTTCTATTTTACGGCTTGTACTTTTTTAAGCAGAGGGACTACATAGGCCGAGATTTTACCTATATATTGTATGTTAGCCGCACTGAAAAAGAAATATATTATTTTTCAGATTCTCCTCAATTCGTGTCCTGTGGATGAATTCTCTGAAAAGGAAGGGTGGCTTTCTGGCTTCTTAGATCTCTAACTGACATTTATCTCACTCTTATGAGCTTTGTTTGTAATCCCCATTTGATTCCGGTCTCTTTCTCCAGCTTCTAGCAAGGATCCAAATTTTATTCTGTTTGTACAGTAAAACTTAGAAAGCGTGCGTTTTGTTTGAGGAAATAAACTGTCTTGTAAATCATTACTTTCTGCATAGTTGGGAAAATTTTCAACTAGACTGGCTCTTGATACCGTCATTGTTTGTTTTGCAGAGAATAATAATAGAACTTACAAGATAATGAGCGGGAAGGTAATGATGAAGCTGGGGAATGCTGGAGAAGTTCAAACTGATGTTGGTTTTGATTCTCTTCCTATGTACCTGAGAGTCAGGCAGAAGAAGCATCTATATTCCAAGGAAGAAAAAAAATCAAAGAGCTCAGAGAAAGATTCCATGAGATTTATTCATGCACTTCCTACGTACATGAAAGACAGGAAATCAAGACTGCCAGAGAAAACTATGTAAACTCCAAGGAACAAATGAAGCTCGATAGAAATGTATTTGAGGCCTACTTGGAGTGAGTTTGAGAGTCCAATGGTTGCTACTCAATCTTTGTGATGTGGGTATGATTGATGATTTATTTGCTTTTTATTGTAGGTATTTGTGGAGCGGTATCTCAGATGATACAAGGACTTCCTACACCTACTTTGATTGCTAATGGTTTTCATTGTATAAGAAGGGGCCCTCACAAATTAAGGTACTAACGTGGATCAAGAAAAAGGAGATATTTTCAAGGAAATATGTTTTTGTTCCAATTGTCTGCTGGTGAGTGTTCTTTCTGTATTCAACCTTCCTCCTGCAGTATTGCAGCAATTAATCAATTAAATTCATGAAAGCATGATAGGAGACATTGGAGCCTTCTTATTTTGTATCATTTTGGAGAAAGTTTCCGCTCAAGAACCACCAGGCCCTGCATGTTGTTACTAGATTCACTCGAGAAGAGTAATCCAAGGAGCCTTGAACCATATATAACAAAGTAAGTTTCATATTGATATTAGGTATACATTCCTGTAACCATGAGAAGATCTTTGAAAGAGAAATTCGTCACTCTAATCAGGTTTGTGTCAGATATATACAATTCGGAAGGTTGTGAAGACAATGAACATTCTATCTCAAAAATTCCACTTCTTGTTCCTAAGGTGGCTGCATTGCCTTTTCTGTGACTATTCTCTACACACAAGTTCTTCTTTATGCGAGGTTGTAGCCTGTTCACAGGTACTGCAACAGAAAAATGGAGAGGACTGTGGCATTTTTGTCCTTTATTTTATACATCTGTTCATGCTAAGTGCTCTTGAGGCCTTCCACCAAGAGGATTACCCGTACTTTGTGAGTTCCCTACTTCATAAACTTGTTTAATGATATTTTAGTTATGCATGCTGTGTTTATATTAAAGCTGTTATTTCTTTATGGTGACTCTTCATCTATTTTAATGTATCAGCTTACAGAAAGCTGGTTCACTTTAGCGGACATGGAAATTTTCCATAAGGACATCATTCATTTTGCGTGTAGGTGCAACTTCTATTCAAGATTTATAATGTTTTCTTGCCTTTGCTTGTAGAATTTCAGAATTGAAGGATTATTTTGTACAAATATCCCATTATCTTTGATCTACAGAATTCGTTAAGGCAAAAAATATGTATGGTTACAATTTAAGTGCAACATCTTAGAAAGAAATGTTTGACTCATTCAGCGGTTTAGTTTGACTGGACTGCCATGCAGCAGGCTCAACGTATATCAAAATTTACATTAGTACTGCAATGGAATTGTATCAGTTTTCAAATATGTTTTGTGCCTAAGGCCATTTACTTACAAATTGGAACACGGTTTTGAGCGCCTCTCAAAAAAAAAAGAGGCTTCCTTGGAGGAGCTGTTTAATTTTCAAAATATAAAATATATTCAGTCCAAAATCATTGTCTAACTATGATGGAACATGAGCTTGTGGCAAATACCCTGCTGGGGGTGGTTTGAGAGGGTGGGGTGGTTGGTGGGGACGAGCTTTGTGGACCATGGGACGGGTGATGTTTCACCCATTTTCTATTTAACTACTCTTAAAACTAAAGCCCATAAGACCACTCCTTGGCAAAAGAAGGCTACATATGGGCCTGCCTTGATGTTTTTTCCCAGCTTTTGTCAAAAGGATTTCCAATTCCCATAATAGACTGCTTCTGATAGTGGATCTGAACATTTCTTCCAAGTCTGACCCCCCCAAGTCCTTGTTTGCTGAACGTCATTTCTTCATTTCCATTAAAAGTTGAGATCTCTAGCCAAGTTTCCTAACCTTAAATTTTGGCCCCCAAGAAGTCACAAGTTACTAAGAGCTGATACTAGTAAGTTTTAAGAGGCTGTGGTTTCTGGAGCTATAGTTTTATGGTGCTGGGGGTCCCTTCTACATTTTCTTGAATTTGTTTTTTTACTTTTTATGGAAATGATGTGAGCTGACAACTTCCACTGATATAAGTTAATATTTTAGTCAGTTTGTTAAAATAGCTAGCTGACTTTCAAATTTGTATCAATTATCTCCAGGTTGAGCTTATTTGACTTTGATTTGTCAAATTGTCTACATTTTCCAGGTCAGCTATTAAACTAGGTGCAATGATGGGATTGTGGATTGATGAATATTTCTCATCTTCATTTCTTTTCTTGACATCTGGGGTCCTAAACCATGCTCTCAAAATCGATGAGACCTACCCTCAAATTAATATGGTTCAACTTAGTCCTTGTTTGGGTATGTCTTGGAAGCTTATATGTAGGTGTTATAAAAATTGAAGAACTCTTATGCAGTTAAATTCCCTTTGTGCACTAGTTGAAAAATATAATATGACATCACTCATCTTATCATAGGCTTCTTTTGTGGGTCATGCTATCAATTATGAGGGGAGTGCTAGCAAGTTTGGTTCACCTAGCCCATCAATACCTTATGAATTAGAGGGTTTTTTATACAAACCATGAACATAGTAAGATAAATTAGAACTTGAATGGAGGAATAAGGGTTCGGAGATATAAAAGCAAGAGTTAGAGTTCTGTCAAAACCCTATATCTCTCACGATAGATGAAAGGCTGCAGCCTCTCCTGTTCTTTAAATAGTCGGTCTCTCAAATGCCCCTTCTCTTATCTTCCCCTCATACTAACCCAAAGCCTTCTAAGGGTTCTCCTTTTAAGGTTCTAAGCTAAGTCAACCCAAAGCCTTCTTCTTGGGCTGTTGGGTTGGGGTCGATTACTTGATGGGACAATCTCCTTAGTTAGAGATAGATGTGAATGGGAGTTGTATCAATACTTAAGATGAAGTAATAAAAAGGAAGGGAGGGTGACAAGTCTTCATTATCATAAGTTAATAATTAGTAAATAATATAGTTTTAACCTTAAATCATGATAAATAGACTTATATTTATGTTAAAGTGTGAAAAGTGGTTTTTAGTTGATTAATGTAATTTTTAGGTAATTATGTGATTTTATATGAATTTATATGATTTTTATAGTCTTATATTTGAGATAAATGAAGAAAAAGAAATAAAAATAAAAATAAAGTAAAATAGGGGGACCTGTTGGCCAATCAGGCTTACAAGCAGGTTAGAAATAGACTAATAGGGCTCGAGTGGCTTGGACTGATAGAGGCATGTGTGCGCCATTCTCCTTCTATGTCATTGGTGCCTAGCCGATTGTGAGGCAAAGAGTGGTCATACACATACGAAAAATAGACTTACTTTCAAATATAATATTATTATATATTCGCCTGAAAATTTGGTGCACAAATGATGTGAGACTAAACTTGTGTCATACTTTTCTTAGAAAGGGTAGGGCAATCGGTGCGGGTTTGAATCTTCCTAGAGCTAAAACTCATATTTTTTTATCTGGTTATCACAACTTTCTTACAAATTGCTAGTGAAGGATTAAGCAACTAAAATCGTTAGATCATTAGCAAAAATTTCGTCAATATGATTCACAGAGCATTATTACTAAAATTACTGAATGATTCACGATAAAAGAATTGTAAATTCATCGAGTAAAGTATCTTTGATTAATCGATGAACAAGTCATCGTTAGGAAGAGGACGATCTGTCGAGAGATGAGTCACCACTTCCTGAGAGCGTATCAAATTCGATGAAGAGCCTCCTTTTATTGTGCGAACTTGAGGATGAAGCTCCTTGACATGCACCTCACTTCCATACAGTTCTTCTTCGTTGGGTGTCAGTTGTCAAAGAGCCGCAAAGTTGTCATTTTTTCGCTCTATCAGGTGACAGTTGTCAAACATGATTTGACAACCTATTTCATTAATCTCTAGACTTGGCAAGGAGACCTAGAGATTATCTTCGTCGTCCTTGTCTAAGGAGAGCCTTTGAGGTTATGGACACTACACGACGATCCTCTTGAATGCTCAAGATTCCGATGCATCACCGACACATCGCCGTCACAACACTAGAACTCTATTTTCTTACTTTCAACTTACTTTTTACTTTATTTAATGATAATTTGTGTGATTTAAATTTACCAAGATAAACTTTGTTCAATTATGATTCTTCTAGCTTTTATAGATTTTAATTTGATCAATTAAATTGTATGTAATCACTTACGTAAGAATCGTCAGGTAAAATTATGTTTTCACCTAATTCACGTTTGCCAGGTGTTAACATCATCTTGACGTTTGTACCTTTATTTCTATTTTTTGTAAATTTTAAATATATTTGTTTTGCATTTCTTAATATTAAATTCATGGAAAATAGTATTATTTGAGAAAAAATTCTGAATAATTACTAGATATTATATTACATCCCTGTGATTGACCTAGAAAATTATCGCTATTTTTAAAAGTTTTATTAAATTATAATTATAATTTAAAAACTTTTATTCAATTCTACATTGTGTTATGAATAATTTCTCTTTTAAAATCAAAGTTTAATTTGAATTATTTTGACTTTGATTTTGAGAAATACGAGTCGACATATTTTTAGTGACTCTAATTTGGGGGTGTTCTTTGTAGATAGACATCTGATGATGTCATAATCCCTAATATAATATTTTTTTATTAATGTTCATAATTAAAATTCTAAAAAATTAATCTATCAATTGAAAATTATAAATATAACTAATAATATTTATCTTCCTTGTGTTTAATTTAAAAAGGCCCTATAAAATTAAATATTTCTAAATTGACTTATTTTGTAGCATTTATAAATTTGAAATTTGTTGAATTTTCTTAACAATGACATAATATATTAAAAAAAAATTGGCACCACTGTCAGAAAACAATTTTTAAAAATTAGTGTTATTTATGATGCATGGGAGAGATAAAAAAAAGGTAATTTATAAAAAAACTATGGTAGTTGCCTTCGTTTATTCCTTTTCTATTCTTATTATTTTATTAGTTCTATTATTTGCTATATTTTATGTGGTGCATGCTAGGATGGGGATCATTGAACTCAAGGCTAGATTTTTTTGAAATTAAAAAGAAAAGGTCTTATACTAGAAAATTTAAAACTATGAATTCTCAAAATGTCAATCAACCACCTAGATTATTGAAGGATAATTTCACCCCATTTCCACGTGAAGACCTATTACAAATCCCTATTTGTGCCAAGAAATTAAACCTAGTGTCTTTCAAATGTTACTTACTTTTTGTGACTGCCAATATGAAGATCCTTATGCTCATCTTAGAGAATTTCACAAAATTTGTGGTAGCATTGAGGAAGTGGATGATTTTAAGAGATTAACTTTATTTTCATTTTCTCTAAAGAATGAAGCTAGTTATTAGCTTTCTACTTTAGATGGAAATAATAAAACATGGGCTAACATTATTGTAAATTTTTTTGAACATAGTTTATTCTAGAGGGAAAACTAAACTCACGAGGAAGACAATTTTAAATTTTTCAACAAATTCTGGAGAAGCTTTTCATGAGGCATGGGCTAGAATGAAAGACTTTTGAGAAAATGTTCAGATCATGGTATTCTTAAAAGTCAAATAGTTGAAATATTTTATGATAGATTTCTTCTCACTTTTAAGCAAATAGTAGGTGGAGCATGTAGAGGATTATTTTTAAATAGAAGTGAAGTGATTCATATAATTTTTCAGAAATTGTGAGTGAAAATTCTATGAATCATTCTTTTGCATCTAATTATGATAGAAGTTCATTTAGAAGGGGAGGAATAATTGATATAAGAAATTTCGAGGATATAGAATTGAAATATAATTTGAAAGAGATTGAAAAATAAATGAATGATATGAAATCTTTGTATGAAAAGTTTGATATTTTCATGACTAATAGTATTTTTAGTTCTTCTAATGTGTTATATTTAGACTGCTCAATATGTGTAGATAGGATACATAATGCAGAAAATTATCCCAATATTGAAAAACCTAAATTGTCAAATATAGCTGAAGTTCAAGCTACATATGGATATCCTAAATTATCCTAAATTTAATGATCCTTCCAATGAACATAATCCTAATTCGAGAAATCATTTAATTTTTTTTAGAAAAATCTAAATAATATTCAAAATTCAAAAGCTTTGAAATCTCAATTTCCTCAAAATAAACATGTAGAAAATAAATTTAAATTTAAGCAAGTTCCTCTAATTAATTTCTGTAAAGTTTCATCTCTACAAACTAATCCTTTTATGAGCATGTTGCTGCAAATAATGAGTCAAATGATGTAGAGTCAAATGAGTTTCACCAAGAGTTGCAATACAAATTTGAGCAGCAACAACAACAATTTCAAGAAAGTATGATGCAAATATGGAAAAGGATAACTTCAAATTCAACAAAAGAGGAAACAAGTCAACCAAGGCAACTTCCAAGTCCAATGTTACCAAATCCAAAGAGTTAACAACAAGAATCTTAGCAAGAAGAATCTAGTTGGAATAACAAGTATAAAGCACCTCAAAATGAACAAATGAAAGTGGTCACCACATTTAAAAGTGGAAACATTCTCAACAATCTATATGAAGAGAGAGTGAATATAGAAAAAGGAACAAAATATGTGAAGGAGCACAAGAAAAAGAAGAGCTAAAATAGTGGAAGATGAAGAGCATGAGCAAACACAACAATTTAAAGAGATGGTGGAGAAACTCCACTAAGTCTAAGAGTGTCTCATCTCCATATGCACTGAAATCAAAGTAGAAAAAGAAATCTAAAGTCAATGAAGATTTAAAATTTTTTATTGAAGATGTTTATATAGTTGTTCTTTTACAAGCAATTGAGGATACCCCAATATATGCAAAATTTTTGGAAAAACTTTACACATCAAAAAGAGCACCAAGAACTGAAAAATTATCTACTCATTTAAGTGTCATGTTGCTCAATCAAAGGTCACAAAGGCTTAAGGAACTAGGTGTGCCTATAATATCTTCTAATATTGGTGTATACAATTTAAAAAATATATTATTAGATTTAGTTGCTTGTATCAATTTGTTACCTACAGCGGTTTGTGAATATTTCTAAGTTTCTAATTTAAAACCATCCTATAGTGTCCTTTAATTGCATATTTATCAATTAAAAATATAAAAATAATGTTAGAAGATGTATTTATAATTGTGAAAGGTTGTCCATTTCTTATAGATTTTGTGGTTTTAGAAATGAATTCACATTCTAAATTGAGTGAAAATGCCCATTATTTTAGGTAGATAATTTTTAAATACTTATCAAATAAATATTGATGTCCCAGAAAGAATTAAAAAAATGTGGAGATCAAATTATGGAAATTAATTTTTTTGAAAGAGCAGAAAATTTAGTAAGTACAAAGAAATCAATCATACGATATATTTGATTCAAGAGCAATTTCAAATAATATTAGAAGAAGCTGAAAAAAAAATACAGCAAAATTAGAAGAACTTTCATATTTGAGGAAAATCATAGTAAAAAAATTAGTCCTAAATTAGAGCTTAAATAATTTCCTAATAAATTATAACATGCATTTGTTGGAAAATAATAATAATTAAATGTAATTATTGATGTAGATTTGGAGAATACCAAGAAATGAAACTACTTAAATTTTTCAGGAAATATAAAAAAACAGTTGGTTCCATAGTTGATTTGAAAGGGATAAATCCAGATATATGCACACATCATATCTATTTAGAAGGAATTAAACCTAATAGATAACCTCAAAGAAGATTAAATCCACATATAATGGAGGTAGTGAAGAGTGAAATTATAAAATTGCTTGATCCAATTTTGGATATTAAGTGGGTGAGTCCTATCCAAGTACTTCCAAAAAAATATAGATTTGACTATAATTAAAAATGAAAAAGGAGAAGAATTTCAAACAAGATTAACCACTAGTTGGCTAGTTTGCATTGACTATAGGAAATTAAATACATCAACTAAAAAAGATAGTTTTCCTTTACCATTTGTGGATCAATTTTTTAAAAAGTTAGCAGGTCAATTTTTTTTTTTTTTAGATGGATATTTAGGTTATAATCAGATTTGTATTTCTTTAGATGATCAAGAAAAGACATATTTCATGTCCTTTTTGTGCATTTTCTTTTAAGAAGATGCCTTTTGGTCTTTGTAATGCATTGACTACTTTCAGTGATTTATGATTTAATTTTTTTTTGAAATGATAGAAAATGCTATAAAATTATTTATCCATGATTTTTGTGTATTTGAGAATTCCTTTGATGAATACTTGAATATTTTAGAAAGGCCCTTAACAAATGCTTAGAAAGAATTTAGTCTTGAGTTGAAAAAGAGTCATTTTATCGTAAACGAAGTAGTCTTGGACCATATAATAAGTGCAAAGGGATTAGAAGTTGATAAAGTTAAAATTAAAATTATTTCTAAATTATAACCTTTGACTTCCATTAAACAAATTTGTTCATTCTTAGGTCATGCTGGAGTTTACAAGAGATTAATCAAAGATTTTTCAAAAATAGTCAAACCACTTCACTCTTAGCTAAAGCTGCACCATTCATTTTTTATGAATCTTGCTATGTCTTCAATTTAATTAAGAAATTATTGAATGAAGTACTTATTTAATAATCTCTAAATTGAACTTTACTATTTGAAATTATGTATAATGCATCTAATCAAGCTATTGCAGCTGTCTTAAGGCAAAGAATTAATAGAAAATTAGTGATAATAGCTATGCAAGTAAAACAATTGATTCTTAATTAAATTATACAATCATAGGAAAAGAATTATTAACAATAGTCTTTGCATTGAAAAAAATTCAGATCTTACATTTTATGATCTAAAATTATTACTTATTCTGATCATGTTGCACTTAAATTTCTTCTTACTTAAAAAAATGTTAAACCACATCTCTTAAAATGAATTTTATTGCTTCAAGAATTTGATTTGGAAATTAAGGATATAAAAGGTTTTGAGAATGTGGTAGCTGATCATTTGTCAAGATTAAGTATTACAAAGGCCGATATTATTTTATGATGAGTAAATTTGACAATTCAGTAATAGAAACATTCATGGCATGCTCATATTGTGAATTTTTTATTTTAAATTAGTCATTAGAATTTTGAGAAAAATCTAAACATGATTATTTCTTTGCTAAAGCCAAAAGATATTTCTAGAAGGAAATAATGAACTATAGTAAGAAGGTTTCTTAGGGACTGAATATAGCTCAATAAAGGGTAAACTAATATAAAACTCATGTTTTTCATGGTGATGAGTAAGGAGAGAGAGACATAGAGTGAACCTATGTAGAAAGTAAATTGATTTAAAAAAACCCACACACAGAACAAAGAGACGCTTGTTAAAAATGAATGCTTTAGTGGAATAAAATGAACATATTTAGATAATCTATCTAGCATGAAGAAAATTGAGTTGAAACCCACTAATGATACTAACCCTTCAAATAAAGTCTATAGTAAAATTATTATATACCTAGTCTAGGACTAGGGGATTGAAGGAGGCCAACAAGGGCTAAGAAGGATGATTTGCTATGCAAGCAAATCTCAAAAACATCTACATGTGCCTAAAACATCAACTTGATTTCGACCCAATATAGTTATTGTGATATTTTCTTGTAAGTCTTCAAGAATCTAAATGACCACTTATTAGACTATCGTGACATTCTCGAAGGATATGTGAAACCACCTAAGAGTTGGAAGGGATGACTAGACATCCTTTGTAGTAAGGAAATCACTATTTGGTACTATATGCACTATGATCATAAGTTCATGCTCATAAGCTAACTTGGATAAATTTCTTGGAGAAAGAGACCAGCTAAAATATGCAATCAGTCTCCTATGTTTTATTAACGCTACTCCAAGCCCATAACTTGAGGTGTTGGTCTCTAATATAAATTTAGAAGAAAAATTGTAGAGGGTCGATGTTAACGTAGAAGTGAAATCACCTTTGTGTTAATTGATGTGGCTTAATTATTGTATAGTAAATCCTGTAAATTTAAAATTTATAAAATTAGAAAATACTAATTTTTAGATATTTAGAAATATTTTTGAACAAGTCTATCAATTATAATTCAATAAAACTTTTAAAAATAGTAATAATTTTCTAAGTCAATCAAAAGGATGTGATATAATATTGAGTAATTTTTTAAATTTTTTTTAAAGAATATATTTTTTTATAAATTTTATACTAATAAATAAAAATAAAATATATTTAAAATTAAAAAATGGAAGATAAGGGTCTGGACATTAGGATGACGTCAATGTCTGACAAATGTGAATAAGACGGAAATAGAGTTCCATCTGATAATTCTTACGTAAGCAATTATAGATGATTTAATTGATCAAATTAAAATCTATAAAAGCTGAAAAAATCATAATTGATCGAAGTATAGCTTGATAAATTTAAATCACACAAAATATTATTAAATGAAGCAAAAATTAAGTTGAAAATAGAAAAACAAAGTTTTGATGTTGCAACGGTGATACGTCAGTGATGCACGAAAATCTTGAGTGTTCAAGAGGATTGTTGTATAGTGTTCATGGCCTTGAAGGCTCTTTTTTGACAAGAACAACATAGGTAATCTTTAGATCTCCTTGCAAACTCTAGAGATTAATAAAATTAGTCATCAAATCATTTCTAGTGACTATCACTTAGTAAAGTGAAAAAATAATAACTTTGTGGCTCTCTAGCAGCTATCACCTAACGTAGAAGAGTTGGATGGAGGTGTGATGTGTGTTTGGGGACTTCATCCTCAAGTCCATGCAACAAGAGGAGGCTCTTCATTGCATTCGGTACGCTCTCAGAAGGTGATGACTCATCTCTCGGCAAATCGTCTTCTTCCCAACGATGGCTTATTTGTCGATCAATTAAAGATGTTTTACTTGATGGATTCATGATCCTTTTATCACGAATCATTCAACAATTTTAGTCACAATGTTCCATGATCGTGTTAACAAGATTTTGGTTGATGATCCAACGATTTTGATGACTTAATCTTTCACTAGTAATCTATAGGAAAGTCACAATAATTAGATAAAAATATAAATTTTGACTTTAAGAGGATTTGAACCTACGATGGTTATTCACCTACATGAGAGAGATTGAAATAAGTACTCTAATACACTTATTAAGTGGCATCATCATGATATATCTATATTATTAGTCTCACATCATTTGTGCGTTGAAGTTTTGGGCGAATATATAGTAATATCACATTTACAAACAATGAGTCTCTTTCTCCCACATGTACGATCACTTTTTGTCTCACAGCCAACTAGTTACTAGTGACGTGGAAGAGGAGTGACGCACACGTGCCCTTATTGATCCTAGTCAATCGAGCCCCTGCTCATGGTTCCCCTCGACTACACTTCTGACCCTTTTATAGGCCCAACTGGTTGGCAAGTCCTCATCTTTTGCTATATTTTTATTTTATTTTTTTATTCTTTATTTATCTCAAAAATAAAACTATAAGAATTATATAAATTCATAAAAAATCACATAATTAGCTAAAATTTCATTTTAATCAACTAAAAATTATTTTTCACAATGCAACATAAATATAAGTCTATTTATCATGAGTTAAAGTTAAAACTATATTATTTATTAATTATTAACTCATGATAATAAAGACTTATCATTATTTCTTTGAGCTATTGAGTCAAAAGGTTGATTAGTGTTGCATAAGTGTACCACATCATGTGATAATTCTATTAACTTGATAGGAGTTGGTCACTTTATTTTTCCTTTGTCAA